TCAATAAAGAAAAAAAATTTAAACAAAAATTATCTTCTCCATCATCACCAGGGAAAAAATAATAATTCTAAAATCCGAGAATAATGTCATTAAAAACAGTTCTGAGTCTACGGCCATACCACATTGAACGCGCGGGGCCTGGTTAGTACCTGGATGGGGAAAACGGCTCTGATAAAGCAGGTCACTACTGCCTATCATAACGCATGCATAAGATATTTTACACTCACAGAGGTATGATACAATCCTGCCCTTCATACATCTATGATACTAAAGGACACGATTAAAAAGGCGTCGTTTGAGCCCGGCTACTGTGGCTCAGTGGTTGAACGCGGACCCATGCGCGAAGGGTCTGATTCCCAGTCAAGGCACATGCCCAGGTTGTGGGCCAAATCCCCAGTGGGGGGCATGCAGGAGGCAGCCAATGGATGTTCTCTCTCATGGATGTTTCTATCTCCCACTTCCTCTCTTTCTAACATCAGTAAGGGGGGGGGGGGGGCGTCCTTTGAGACTTGATGCTGTGCCTCCAGCAGAGGGCGCAGGGGGTGGTCTGACACAGCTCTGGGAAAAACGCACCTCCTCAGACAGGACCTTTCATTCATCGCACATTCTAGGCACTCACTGTTCTTCATGAATATCAGCTACAAACTTTTAAAAAGACCAAAACAAACAAAACACCCCACCACATCCCATTGGTTCCCACAAAGACGATGGAGTGGGAGCAGGCCAGACTCGTCCTAACCGGCCTTCACCAAATCTGCTGTTTGAGTGGCCAGAGCGCCACCTAGGCGAGAAGCCCAGCCACACTTCAAAGCTTTGGGCCGCAGCCAGAACAGCACCATTTCAAGCGGAAGCAGGAGCCAGACACTGCCCCCTGGGGCACCGGCAGGGTGCTGACATCCTAGGGCACCGTCGCCCACTCATCCAGGAAGATGGGAGCGCGTTTCTGTACTTTGTGTCCCACTCAGTTACCATGTTATAAAAACAGCAAGCTGTCAGGCCAGACACAGGCTCCTCTGTGCAGCCCCAGGTCCCATCAGCTCTGCACCACAGGGCTCCCCAATGCCACCACCGTACCCACAGGCCAGAAGGGAGCTGGGACCACTGCACTGGTTCGGGCAGGGCTACTCCTCTGCGGACACCACTTCACTTCAGTACAGTGAAGTAAAATTGAAACTATTTTAATTTAAAAATGAAAACCATTCATTTTAAAGGTCTGCAAAAACATACCTTGGCAATCCCACGCACCCGACAACCCAGCCTCTCAGGATCTGACCTGGAATCCACTGTGCTAAGTTCAGATTTATAAACAGAAACCCCCTCAAACAACAGGGCCTGCCTGAGAAATGTATTTCCTGGGTCATGTCAGACAGGCCGAGGCAGGCAGTCCAGGCTCTCTCCATTCCATCGCCAGGGGTGCGTGGCAGCGGGGGAAGCAGAAGGGCTAAGGGGCCACCTTCACTTTTTTAAAATTCTTTAAAATGACAACTTTATATGGTTGGATTCAATATCTACAGTTTCTGTCTTGACTGCCAGGTGAGAAATATGAAGTTAATTCAGTAAATATTGGGGAGCCAGTGTTGGGGGAAAATGCTATGATTTTTTTTTTTTTAATCCTCACTCGAGGACATTTTTCCATTTTTTTTGTTCAGGTAGAGTGGGAGGGAGCGAGAGGAACAGAGAGAGAGAGAGAAACATCGATGTGAAAGAGACACATCGAGTGGTTGCCACCCGCACGACCCAACCAGGGCCGGGGACAAACCGCAACCGAGGCATGTGCCCTTAGCAAGAACCAAACTCGGGTCTCTCTGGACCGCAGGCCAATGCTCCAACCGCTGAGCCAAACCAGCCAGGGCGCCAGCTTCACTTTAAAGACCTGTCCCCGTAAGTCCCAGGTCTAGCTTCAAGCATCCCTCTCTCACAGGCTCACTCACCCTGGTATCTGATTCCAAACCTCCTTCAGGACCAGCAGGCCCACAGGCCAGTGATACTGACACCTTCCACCCCCTCCACTCCTCCTTTCTTCCCATTTCAACTTCCACTCAAGCCTCTTAGTCACTCTCTTGCACACACCTTGACTCCATTTGTCCCTCCCGTCCTTACCTTTCGAGCAAAACCTCAATGTGGTCAAATCCAACTCCCCTGCTCTGCACCTGAGGGGGGGCTGAAGTACAGCTCAAAGGCCAGCTGAGTCTTCCTCTGGCCCACTGACCCCTAACCTGACTCCTAGCCCAACCCCTGACCTGATTCCCTAACCCAGTCTCTAATCTGGCCCCCAACCTCATCTCAGCCTGATTCCCTAACCTCCCTAACTGGGGTGTTCCTGCTGCCGGGACATCCTGATGTGGCTTGTGCAAACGCAGGGCAACTATGGAAGGTTACGTATGATTTGTGGGGAGCACAGGGGAGAGAAAGGAGCCCCCCAAAGAGAGAAAAAGGCAAAAAGAGTCCTCGATATTGAAGCAAACCAACTGTGCCATGATTCTGCACACTTGGGCTGTAGCGTGGAGATGCAGGGCAGGAAGACGGCACTGGGATGGCATCAGATTATTTATGGCATCAAGTTATTTATGGCAAGTGGTAGGAGGCCGGATTTCCACTTGTTTCTGTTGTTAATTCTCACCGGAGGGTCTTTTTTCCATTCATTTTTAGAGTGAAAAGGAGAGAGAGAGAAACATCAATGTGAAAGAGACAATTGGTTTGCCTCCCAAACTCTCCCTGACCAGGCCAGGGATTGAACTTTTCAGTGTGTGGGCTGACATCTAACCACTGAACACCACCAGCCAGGGCATTACTTATTTGTCTATACTTATCTTTAGAATCTTGAAACAGCTACTGTGAGCACGTTCATTAGATAATCAGAAAATCCATTCAAGTTATTTTTGAAAACTGAGTTTGTCACTCTGGCCAGTGTGGTTCAGTGGTTAGAGAGTTGACCTAAGCATCAAAGGGTTGAGGGTTCGATTCTGGTCAAGGGTATGTACCTAGGTTGCAGGTTTGATCCCTGATCCTCGTTGGGATTGTGTGGGAGGCAACTAATCAATATGTCTCTCTGATATTGATGTTTTTCTCTCTCGCTCTTTCCCTTCCACTCTAAAATCAATAGAAAAAATATATATCCTTCGGGGAGGATTAACAACAAAATAAACAAAATCAATGGAAAAGAATATCCTCAGGTGAGGATTCACCAAAAAAAAAAAAAAAAAGTTTCTCTAACAGTCCAACCAGCCCAACCAGCCTGGGCTGCAGAGAAACTCACAGGTAGTACCTAGAAGCCCTGGACACAGGCCCCTGCCCCACTCTGGACCCTATTTTTGACTTCTCTCTCCCATCCCACTGGGCTGGGCCAGAGGACAGTCACCCAAGGGCAAGTGAGAAGTGTTGCTACATTTCTTCACACCCGGAGCCATAGGCAATGGGGGAAGGGGAGCACTTTCTTCCCACCTCCCCAACCAATGTCTTTCAAACACAGTCCTGTCCATCCCTCTGTCCCTGTTCCATCCCTCCAACCCTGCCTGGGGCCAGCTGGGACCCCACAGCATCATCAGACACCAGCTTTGATTCCCACCTGCCCCTTCTATGGGGCCTCACCTCCCTGCCCCTTCAAACTTTGGGACAGAGCCCTGGGGAGCTCTGTCAGCTACTGGCACTAGGGCAAGCATACGCCTACACTTTGGGCATTAAAATACCAGTCCTGTTCGACCCAGTGCCTGTCCACCCTGGTCCAGGCCTGACCTTGGGTGCAGAACAAGGACTGTCCTTCCTTATCCCTGCTTTGCCTTTTGTGGGGATGGGTAGGAAAGCGGCCTGGCTTTATAGTCTGTTGGCAGTGGAGATCTCGGTTCCTAGCATGTGGCTTAGATGAACTCGCATTTGATGTCTATGGGGCGCACGGCACAAGGCCAACATAGGCACGTCACGTCAAAGTGCCCTGTTCTAACCGGCACCACCTTCTCCCAACTGGGACCGGGACGCCAGGCCAAGCCCGGTCAGGCACCTGGCAGCTGTGGTGCAGGAAAACCACCGCAGGCGACTTCTTCTTCCACATGGTGACCGTGGGAGCAGGGGGAAGCCTCCAGGTCAACCAGCTTTCGGAGACTGGGGAGCCCCTGGGATCAGGAGTCCCACCCTCGTGCACCCCGGGCAACAGACGGGCACAAGATGGACAGGCGGACCGCGGGGAGGGCGGGAAAGCCTTTCCAGGCACCGGCCTGCGAGGAGCAAAGGCTGGGAGGTGGGAAGCAGTGTGGCGAGTCCCGGGAAGGGGCTGGTGCAGTCGGGGCGCAGGCCGACGGAGAGGGTGCTGGGAAAGCCCGGGTGCACGCTCCCCAGCCTGCTCCCCCGGCGTGATCCGGTCCATCCCCCAGGGATCGCTGCGAGTGTGACCTCGGCACAGCGGAGGGCGGCGCCCGAAGGTCACGCCGCCGGGTCTGGCTCGGAAGCAGGCGCAGGAGATCCGCGGGAGGCCCGCGGGTGGGGCCGGCCCTGGCGGGCACCCTGAGCGGGGCCCCGGGCTGGGCGGCGGCCCGGCGTGCGGGGTGTGCGCGGGCCCGCGAAGGGGCCGAGGCCGACCCCCGGCGCCCCCAGCGCCCGGCGGGCCGTCTGCGCGCGTCGCTGCGGCGCTCGGGCCCCGCCACGCCCTCGCGGCTCGCCGCCGTCGGACGCGGAAGAGCCCGCCACGCATGCGCCACAGCGCCCTCCGCGTGGGCTCGGCGGCGCCGCCAGGACCAGAATGCAGCGCGCGGGGCCGGGCCGCGGGGCACGCCGGGACCGCCCTCACCTGGCCGGCGGCGGGCGCCCGAGGGGCCCAATGGGAGCGGCGCCCGGTCGCCCCGCCCCGCGCCGCCGGACGTCTGTGCCGGGACATGGCCGCCGCCGGTGCCGGGTCCTTGAGCTGAGCGCCCGCCGCCGGGAGCCAACCGCCGCCCCCAACCGTCCGCGCGGGCGGGCCGAGCAGCAGGAGGAGGCGCAGGCGACCGCGCGAGGCCGCAGCGGCCGGGCGCATGGCGTCCATCTTACTGCGGAGCTGCCGCAGCCGGCGGCCCGCCCGCCTCCCGGCGCCCCGTGCCGCCGCCCCGGGGGGTAAGCGCTGGGCGGGCGGGGGCCGGGGCGCTCGGCGCGGGCCGGGGGCGCTCGGGCGGGCGCGGGGGCGGGCGGGGGGCGCGGGCGGGGTGCCGGGCGCCGGGCGGCGGCCCGTGACTCACCCGCGCTGTGACCTTAGGCGCCCCGGCCGCCGGCCTCGGCGCTCCTCTCGGGGTTCGGCTCCCTGGCACGTGGCGCCGACACGAGAACGGTCGTGATCGTGGGCTCCTTCCCGGACTCCGAGACGAGTGGCCGGGGCGGCAGACACTGGCCACCAGGACCCGCGGGGCGGTGGGGTGTTAACTGGGCACCTGCCGAGGGTCGGCAGGCTGTGTCCCCAGAACCCCCGGGACCTTCCCTGTGACGTGGGCTCCCAGGGGTCCACGTGGAGGGCTCCGGACTGTCACCCTCTCCTACAGGGACCTTTCTGAGTTTGTTCCTTTATTTGTAAGGTCGGGTGAAGATAAAACTTGTCCTGCAAGCCTGAGACCCAAAACGGCATGTTTGGAGGTTCTTTCCGGTTTACCAAGGTGCTCCCTGAAATGTGATTCCTGTAATTGTTAACGGGAGCGGCCGGCCGGCCGCTGGACCTTTGAGCGGTGGGCAGGGCGTTGGCAGCGAGAACCGGCCAGTGCCTGGCGGCCCTCTGCTGTCCCGGGCCTCTCCGCTAAGGATGCGGATCCAGATCCTTTGGCCTCTCCGCCCTTGCACTGGCCCTTGCACTGCGTGCGTACGGTTGAAGTTAGCTGAGTTTGCGTTGTGGCTGGATCGTTTCGGGAACACGTTTGCTGTGGTTCTGTTCTCCGCGACACAGACACAAGGGGTTAGGTTGGGTCACACCACCAGTCCCCTGTCGGACCAACAAGGACTCCAGAGCCTTCAGGACCCAGGGCTGGACTCTGGGAAAGGACACTCCCAGCTGGGTGCTGTGGCTTTTTTCTGGAGTACATTTATCCCATTATTAAAAATTTTTTTTCCTTTACTGATTTTAGAGAGAGAGGAAAGGAGAGGGAGGGAGAGACAGAAACATAGATGAGAGAGAACATCGATTGGCTGCCTCCTGCGTGCCCCCACTGGGGATCGGGCCCACAACCTGGGCATGCGCCCTGATCAGGAATGGAACTGGTGACCTCCTGGGTCCACACTCAACCAGTGAGCCACACCCTCCAGGCCATTCCCCCTATTATTAACATCTGACATCAGTGTGATTCTTTGTTACACTCATTAAGCTGACATTGATAGTGTTACTAGCTGAGGTCCACAGTGCATTCGGATTTCCTTTATCCTGATACCGTTTTCTGTTACATACTTTCCTCTTATACCACACACACTTTTTTCAGATACATTCTTTTCATCCCAGGACCCCATCCAGAAGACCATATTACATTTAGTCACATTTCTCTTTGGTGTCCTCATGGCTGTGACAGTTTCTGACTTCCCTTGACAGTTTTCAGGAGGATTGGTGAGATATATTGTAGAATGCCACTCTATGGGGATGTAGCTGATGCTCTCACATGGTTAGACTGGGGTTGTGGGCTTGGGGGAGGCGACTACAGAGGTGAAGTGTCCTCATGACATCCTGTCAAGGATACCTGCTATCAGTGTGATTTATAGCAGTCATGTGACCTTGATTGAGGGGCTGAGGTGGTGCCTGTCAGATTCCTCCACTCCGCACCCCCCTCCCCCATTTGCAGTTTGCACACCATGCTCTTTGAAAGGAAGTGTTGTGTGCAGTACATACTTGGGAGTGGGCCCAAGGCTGCCTAGAGGTGGGCTGACCAGATTCACCAGGGACTGGGTATGAGAGCAAGAGAGCAGCAGCCCATCAAAGGAGACTCCCAGCCTCTGGCCATTATTGAAATAGGAGGCCGGGGAAGTCTGGAGGTCTTGGAGCTGTTGAATGTGAGGTGCCTATGGACCTGTGGATTGAGTGTACCCACAGGTACTCAATATGGAGTGCCCGAGGAGAAGTTGGAGGTGGGGTGGAGAGGGTGCTGCCTGGAGCAGTTGGGGGGGGGGGATTTGGAGCAGAGAGTGGTCTGGAAGCCAGGTGAAGAAAGGTGTGAGATGTGAAGAAATATGCTTGGTCTCTGCCCCTCTCCCCAGTTCTTGCTGGAGCTCCAAAAACCTTTGGAATTTCTTGAGTGATCAGGGTGTCTCATGGGATATACAATGAGCCCCTTTTTCTCTAACCTGAGTTTATGCTAATGAAGACCTGTGATTAGCAGTCTTGACTTTCCTACCCCACCCCCAACATCCAGGGAGAAGTGGGGGCCTGGAGATTGAGTTCATTCTTCAATGTTGCCAAACATGTAACCAATCATGCCCAGGTAATGAAGATAAAAAGTCTTGAACAGGGAGGCTTGGGGGCTCTGGTTGGTGGCACTTGCCGACCCCACAGGGACAGAAGCTTCTGCGCTCAGGATTCTTTTGGACCTTGAACTTTGTCCCTCTTCATTCGGTTGTTCATTTGTGTTCTTTATAATAAACTGTAATAAAAAGTAGAGCACTTCTCTGAGTTCAATGTCACTCTAGCAAATTATTAAAACTGGGGGCTTCGTGGGAACCCCTGAATTTGTAGTTGGCAGAGTGTGGGCAGCCTGGGGACCCTACTTGCAACTGACATGTGAACTGTGGGCAGTCTTGTGGGCCTGAGCCTTAGCCTGTGGGTCTGACTGACTCCAGGCAGTATCAGAGTTGAGCTGTAGGCCACACAGCTGGTATGGGACAGCTGGTTGTCGGGAAAACACAAAACTAAAGGGCCTCCAGAAGGAGGGAGTGGCCCATGGACCACATCCCTGCTGCAGGGGGGAGGGGGGACAGAACCCTGGTGTCCTCAGGCTGGGACGGAAGCCTTCAGAGCGCCCCCAGTGTGCATCAGGCCTGGGAAGGGGACAGGGAGGAGGGGTGCGAGTGCACGCCGCTCCAGATGGGGAGCAGGCCAGGACCTGGGCCGGCTTGTCTGCTCACTGGGGGTGTGCAGGGCGGGAGCCACTTCTGAGTCAACCTGAGGTGGGGGCTGGGCCAGGCAGGGGTGGAGGGGACAGGCTACAGGTGAGGGGGGGCTTCTGTTTGGGAAACAAGGCAGGGGGGTTCCTCAGCTGGAGTGGTGTGTGCTTTGCCATGTGCTTTTTTTTTTAATCCTTGCCTGAGGACATTTTTGCATTTATCTTCAGATAGAGCAGGAGGGAGAGAGGGAGGGAGAGAGAGAAACATCCGTGTGAGAGAGACACATAGAATGGTTGCCACCCACAGGACCCCAGCCAGGGCTGGGGACAAACCACAACTAAGGTACATGCCCTTAGCGATACCTGAACCCGGGACTCTCTGGTCCATGGGCTGACGCGTTAACCGCTGAGCCAAACCAGCCAGGGCTGTCATGTGCTTTTTAACTTTAACTGAAAAGATAACTTTTGAAATATAAAAAATTAGTTTAGCCCTGGCCGGTTTGGCTCAGCGGTTAGAGCGTTGACCTGTGGTCCGGAGAGACCCGGGTTCGGTTCCCGCTAAGGGCACGTACTTCGGTTGCAGTTTGTCCCCGGCCCTGGTTGGTCGTGCGGGTGGCAGCCACTCGATGTGTCCCTTCACATCGATGTTTCTCTCTCTCTCTCCCTTCCTCTCTCTCCCTCCCACTCTATCTGTACAAAAAAATGGAAAAATATCCTCAGGTGAGGACAAAAAAAAACAAACACACACACACACACAAAAAAAAATTAGTTTATGAATCATGATGACTGAGCTTGTGTGCCCAACTCCCAACTTAAACCTAGGCTGACATCTATATACAAGGTTCTAAATTTTTTTAATATGTTTTAATTGGTTTGTTTATTTATTTATTTATTTTCCTCACCCAAGGACATTTTTTCTATTTTTTGTTCAGATACAGTGGGAGGGAGAGAGAGAGAAAGAGAAACATCGACGTGAAAGGGACACATCGAGTGGTTGCCACCCGCCGGGGACAAACTGCAATTAAGGTACGTGCCCTTAGCGGGAACCAAGCCTGGGTCTCTCCAGACCACAGGCCAACACTCTAACTGCTAAGCCAAACTGGCCAGGGCATTGGTTTTTATTTTTAGAGAGAGAGGAAGGGAGAGAGAGATGGAAAGATGGATGTGAGAGAGAAGCATCATTGGCTGCCTCCTGCACGCCACCTGCTGGGGGATCAAGCCTGCAACCCAGGCATGTGCCCTGACCAGGAATTGAACCAGGACTTCTTAGTCCATGGGATGACGCTCAATCCACTGAGCCACACCAGCTGGGCACAAGGCTCTAAATTTAATGTTTGATATGAATAGCCTCTGAAAAAGAGAGTAAGATGTAGTGGTGTTGACACTAGCCTGCTACTGAATTACATAAGTGACAACTGGGAGTCTGTGTCCCCACAGGATCCACTGGGAGCAGTGTGGGTCCACCTTGCCTGGACTGCTCTGGGGGTGCCCAGGAGTGGTGCCTGTCCTCTGCCCTGTCCATCTTCTCCCCCCCTTATCCTGCCGGTTCCCAGAGTTGGCTCTGAGCATCCCGAACCTGTTTCAGACACTCCTGCTGGCTGAAAGGCCTCATGGTGCCAGCCTGCCGTCCAGGCTCTGCCGGGCACTCCGTCAGGATAGGTACCAGTCTTGTCCCCTCACAGGCTGTTTCTCCAGCACAGGTCTGATCACAGGTAGGCCCGAGTGTTGGTCATGTGGATGAACCCTGAATTTACACTTATGGGAACCTAGTAAGTTAAAGGGTCAAAAATATATAAAAATCATAAAATTGTGCTATATGCTCATCAATATGGTTTAACCAAGAAATGGCTCTGGCCGGTGGGTTCAGTGGTTAGAGCATTGGCCCATGGACTAAAGGGTCACAGGTACAATTTCTGGTCAAGGGCACGTACCTGGGTTGTAGGTTTGATCCCTGGCCTCAGTTGGGATAAATGCAGGAGACGATAAATTGATGTGTCTTTTTCACATAGAAGCTTTTCTCTTAAAACAAACAAAAAAACAATGGAAAAAATATCCTCGGGTGAGGATTTTAAAAAAAAGGGGCTTACTCTTGGCATTTGTTTTTCTGGTAATTCTCAATTCTTGCTTCCCCCCACTTCCCCTGTGTGGCAAGGAAGGCTTTGATGCCTTGGATGTGTTGCACTGTGGTCGCCTGTGCGCTGGGGGCAGTGGGCATTTTGGTCTCTGCCCACCAGGGCCAAGCGGGAGCAAGTAGGGCATTGTCCTTCCTGGGGGACCTGCAAGCTGGATTCCCTGGGTGCTTCGCTGGTGGAGCCTGGTGTCCTCGGGCTGACTCAGGCTCCCCTTCTTCCCTAGGGCCACCCCGAGATACTGTGTTCCTCACTGGGGCAGACCCTTCGCCTGGCAGCATTCTGAAACATTTCAGCACGCCAACAGGCTTCCAGCAACTTACCTTACAAAAGAGAGGTGTGCTCTCAGACTCTGCAAGACAGTATCAGCGTACGGCCCTGGTGTGAAACTGACTCTCTTGTGCTTTCTTTGTTTTTGTCCTAGGTAGTCTGGGGGATCACGCCTGTCTCAGCTGTGCCAACGCTGTGGGGTTGATAAGCCGTGGGTAAGTGGATGGGCATAGCGTCTGCCTTGGGCACTGCTCGAGCGCTCTGCGTGCCTGCTGCTTCCCGCTGCTGGTTTGCCTCTTTGATGCCTTTGTCGTCTCATTTTGAAATGTGTAGCATGTTCCTCGGTGAGTCTGGAAAATAAGTGAACACTCAGAATCCCAGTGCCTGCTACAGGTGTTGTCAGCATTTTGGTGTATTTTATTCTGATCTTTTTTCTATGTGTCTGTTTTTATGACATTCAGTGGTGCCCACAGTCTGAACACAGTGTCATATGCTAACAGGGCAGATCTTTCCACACTCACACGGCTCCATTCTCAGTGGCCTTCGTGTGTTCGCAGAGACCGTGGATGTGGCGGGCAGCGTTGTCTGTGTTGGCTGTCAGCGAGCACCAGACAGGCCTGCCTTGCACGCTCGGCCCTTCCTGGAGCCTCGCACACGTGCTGTCTGTGGGGCTTGCCCCCGCCGAGTTCTGGGGACACATCTGGCATGTGGTGGACTTAGCCCTTCCCTTCGTTGAGAGAGGTCCGTGATACTCCTGCCAGGCTGGGGGCCTTCCTGAGGGGGAAGCATGACCCTTCCCTGCCACCGTCCCACACAGACGAGGTTTCCTCGGGACTGCTGTGTTCTCCCACCTGCCATCCCTCTGCCCAGCGCCCTGAGCACAATCTCCTGACCCCTCACCTGCCTGTGTGGTGGGACACTCAGATCTCTATCCTGCCACCAGGTCCTTGTCTTCCTGCCTGAATGTTGCTGCTGGCCTCTTGCAGCCCCTTGCCATGGGGCTGTGGGGTCTTTGGGGTTTTCTTGTTGCTTCCTGGGACAGATATAATTCCCTAAAATAAGTGCACAGGTCATACATGAAAATTGGGTTGTTGTGAAAGCAAAATTGTGCTCAAGTATATTTCCCGTTCTCAGGCTTTATAAAGTACTCACATGGGCAGCCAGCCCACGGGGCCTTTCTGCACATGGGGTATCTCTGTGGCAGAGTCGACACAGGACAGCTTTCGTGGGGACACAACAAAGTCTGTTTGTTTAGAAGCCCTTCCCAGCAGCAGCCCTTATGGCCCCTCCCTGCTGCCAGAGTGCTTCTGGCTCCTGACTTTGATTTTAATTAGGTTTCTGTAGTCACAGGACTTGTGAAATCTTTCTGTTTCTGACGTGGAGTCTCTGGGGTATGAGCACAGGACATCTTTACTTTTGGCCTTTCTTGGATTCATTCTGAAGTGAGCTAGGTGGCATTTCAGGGGCTTGGGGCTGTCTACAACCACACCACCCTGAACGCGCCCGATCTCGTCAAGGGCTTGGGGCCTGGAAACAGGTATCCCAGTGACCTGGGAGTATGGTCATGGTGCCATGAAGGATGTGGCCCACAGGGCAAGACAAGCTGGGAATCAGTGTTTGGCATGAAATCCCTGGTTTTTAGAGTCCTGGTGTCTAAGACAGGTTGGGGGCTGCCATGTGTGGCTTCAGTTGCAATGCACAGCCCCAGGAGTGGGGGGGCGGCCCTGCTGGTCAGGCCCCAAATGTGGGGGGTGGCACTGCTGATCAGGGCCCAGATGTGGGGGGTGGCACTGCTGATCAGGCCCAGATGTGGGGGAGCGGCACTGCTGATCAGGGCCCAGGAGTGGGGGGGCGGCCCTGCTGGTCAGGCCCCAGATGTGGGGGAGCGGCACTGCTGATCAGGGCCCAGGAGTGGGGGGGTGGCCCTGCTGGTCAGGCCCCAGATGTGGGGGGTGGCACTGCTGATCAGGGCCCAGGTGTGGGGGAGTGGCACTGCTGATCAGGGCCCAGGTGTGGGGGAGCGGCACTGCTGATCAGGGCCCAGGAGTGGGGGGGCGGCCCTGCTGGTCAGGCCCCAGATGTGGGGGGTGGCACTGCTGATCAGGGCCCAGGTGTGGGGGGTGGCACTGCTGATCAGGGCCCAGGTGTGGGGGGTGGCACTGCTGATCAGGGCCCAGGTGTGGGGGGTGGCACTGCTGATCAGGCCCCAGGTGTGGGGGGTGGCACTGCTGATCAGGGCCCAGATGTGGGGGGTGGCACTGCTGATCAGGGCCCAGATGTGGGGGAGCGGCACTGCTGATCAGGGCCCAGGTGTGGGGGAGCGGCACTGCTGATCAGGGCCCAGGTGTGGGGGGGCGGCCCTGCTGGTCAGGCCCCAGATGTGGGGGAGCGGCCCTGCTGGTCAGGGCCCAGATGTGGGGGGTGGCACTGCTGATCAGGCCCCAGATGTGGGGGAGCGGCACTGCTGATCAGGGCCCAGATGTGGGGGGTGGCACTGCTGATCAGGGCCCAGATGTGGGGGAGCGGCACTGCTGATCAGGGCCCAGGTGTGGGGGAGCGGCACTGCTGATCAGGGCCCAGGTGTGGGGGGGTGGCCCTGCTGGTCAGGCCCCAGATGTGGGGGAGCGGCCCTGCTGGTCAGGCCCCAGGTGTGGGGGGTGGCACTGCTGATCAGGGCCCAGGTGTGGGGGAGCGGCCCTGCTGGTCAGGCCCCAGATGTGGGGGGTGGCACTGCTGATCAGGGCCCAGGTGTGGGGGGTAGCACTGCTGATCAGGGCCCAGATGTGGGGGAGCGGCACTGCTGATCAGCCCAGAGCTTGCGGGGCCAGCGTGCCTGTCTCCCTGTGTGGGCGTCGTTCTTGGTGGTCTGTGCTTGTCATCTGCCTTGGTGGGCTCTCTAGCCTGCCCTTGCACGCCTTCTCTCTGGACTGTCCCGTTAACTTACTATTTCAGTTCTAAATGATCTTTTCAGGACTGTAACTGGAATGTCATTAAACCCATAAAATCATTGGGGAATGTTAACTTTGTTTTAAATTCTCCCATGAGGATATTTTTTTCAATTGATTTTTTTTTTTTTTTTAAAGAGAGAGTGGAAGGGTGGGAGGGAGGAGGAGAAACATAAATGTGAGAGAGACCCATCGATTGGTTGCCTCCTGCACATGTCCTGACCAGGGCCAGAGATCGAACGTACAACCAGGTATGTGCCCTTGACTGGGAATTGAACCTAAGACCCTTCGGTGCTTGGGGCAAGGCTCTAACCACTGAGCAACACCAGCCAGGGCCCAAGGATATGTTTTTATTGAGTTTTAGAGACAGAGAGGAAGGGAGAGAGAGAGAAACATCAATCAATTGCCTCCTATATGCGCCCTGACCAGGGATTGAACCTGAAACCTTTTTGGTGCATGGGACAATGCTCCAACCAACTGAGTCACCTGGCTGGGGCCGGAGACCGGGAATATTAACTACCAGAGTCACATGTCGTGTTCCTAGGAGTGAGGTTTTATTAAGACCTTTCTCTCTCAGAGGAAAGTGGATACTTCTCTTTACATAGAGCACGTGTGCTGCCTTCAAGACACTTCCCACGTGTGATCTGTTTGGTGGCAGTGATGGACCGCTCTTCTCATGGTCTTTTCTCGGGGTCGTTACTCAGTCACATCTGTTTTCCTGCGCCGGCCACTTCACACAGCTCCACTGAGCATCTTTAGGTTCTGTTGCAGCACCTTTGCATTAAGTGCTGGGGGGTCATCCTCCACACAGTCGTTTTGCCTCTTTCTTCCCAGTGCATTGACTTCTGTGGCTCAGTTCGGATCAGTAGCCAGGCCTGTTGTCAGGACACTGTAGCCACTCGTGCATTCTCACAGTAGCAGAGCCCAGAGTGCCCATGTGTGCTCTTAGGTGTAATGGTAGCCTCTGTCTTTCTTATTTTAAAGTGTTTTATTAGGAGTAGGTGTTGAATTTGTCAAGTACTGTACCTTTTTGAGATTCACGAGCACCTGCATTTAAGGTTCATGTTAAAACATAAAAGCTGCCCTGGCTGGTTTGGCTCAGCGGTTAGAGCGTCTGCCTGCGGTTCAGAGAGACCTGGGTTCGGTTCCTGCTAAGGGCACGTACCTCGGTTGCGGTTTGTCCCTGGCCCTGGTGGGTCGTGCGGGTGGCAGCCACTCGATGTGTCCCTTTCACGTCGATGTTTCTCTCTCTCTCTCTTCCTCTCTCTCCCTCCCACTCTATCTGAACAAAGAATGGAAAGATGTCTTCGGGTGAGGATAAAAAAAATAAAACATTAAAGCTGTGCTTTATTAATGTAACTTTCCTTATAAGTTCACAATTTTTAGAAAGTTAAACAATGAGAACTATAAGGATGTTTTGCTGAACTCAAACAGTTCAGATGAGAAATTAGAGTCACAGTCTTACCAGTCTCAGCATCCAGAATTTTTATTTTCTTTTTCTTTTTTATTATTTTTTTTATTGTTATTTATTTTTGTTACAGATGTTTCTCCTTTTACCCCACTGATTCCCCCTTCCCCGCCCTCCCCACCCTGTCCCCAGCTTTGTTGTCCATGTCCATGTTCATGCACACATGCATATAAGTTCTGTGGTTTATCTCCCCCCCCACACCCCCTCTTCAGGGGATTGTCAGTCTGTACTTCCAGGTCTCTGGGTCTACCCCATTCCTCAGACTGTTATGTTCATTATATTTCACAAATAAGTGAGACCATATGATACTTGTCTTTCTCTGTTTGGCTTGTTTCGCTTAGGATAATACTTTCCAGGTCCCTCCATGTCGTCTCAAAGGATAAGAGATCTTTCTTTCTTACAGCTGCATAGTATTCCATTGTGTACATGTACCACAGCTTTTTTATCCATTCATCTACTGATGGACATTTGGGCTGTTTCCAGATCTTAGCTATTGTAAATAGTGCTGCTACAAACATGGGGGTACATATATTCTTTCTGATTGGTGTTTCAGGCTTCTTAGTCAGAATTTTTATTTTGATCACACTATATAAGAAATCTTGAGTCACACAGATAAGTAATTGCAAGTGGTAACCATTTATAATAGTTGTTTTGTAATCTCCCTCTTCAGTTGAAATGGTCCAGACCCCCGAAGGGTGAGTAGGTGGAGAGTTTCTGGTTCCAGACAATCTCGTGGGCACTACCTAGCTACTCTTAACCTCCTTTATCCCAGAAATAAAGGCAGAGGAGAAGCACCCCAAACTCTGAGTAAGCAGACTGTGAAGCAGTGGTTTTGAAACCTCGTTCAGTGGAAAGAACTGAGTGATGGGAGCTGTTTGTAGCCTCATGTCTCACTTAGTGGGACTGCTCACAACATTGGCTGCAGAAATCTTTACATGTTGGTGGTGGTCGTGGGGCCTTGTGGCCTCCAGTAGGTGTTGGGGTGCTGTGGGTAGTAGCCTCCAGTTCCCCAGCTGAGGCAAGTTGTTTCACTCGTCTCTGGGCAGAGGGGTGTCCTGCACCTCTGGAATCACCCCTCTTAGTCATAGTGTTGCTGGCATCACATTGCTTTTTGGGGGTCATGTCCCTGAAAAATGTAGCATGAGCCCTGGCCAGTTTGGCTCAGCGGTTAGAGCGTTGGCCCGCGGACCAGAGAGACCCGGGTTCGGTTCCCGCTAAGGGCATGTGCCTCGGTTGCAGTTTGTCCTCGGCCCTGGTTGGGTCGTGCTGGTGGCAGCCAGTTGATGTGTCCCTTTCACGTCAATGTTTCTGTCTCTCTCCTTCCCACTCTATCTGAACAAAAAATGGAAAAATGTCCTCGGGTGAGGATTGAAAAAAAACACGCGGCATGGTAAGGGTTGGCATCCTCTCTGACCATTGTCTTGGTGTGCTGTCCCCTTCAAGGGGACGTGTTGCCAGGAGCTTGGCACGCAGGCGTCATGCCTGTGGCAGTTCCACAGCTGTTCACAGTCGGGAGGTGCTGCTGTGGAGAGCAGGGCCAGGGCCCACTGTTTGTGCCTGCTGCCCAGTGGCTGTGCTGCAGCACCGTGCACGCTGCCCCTCTGCCGGGTGCAGCTCGGTCTTGCTCTTCTCGGAGGGGCAGCAGGGTGCCAGGGTGGAGGTGGACGCAGAGTCAGCACCCTGCAATGAAACAAGTGGCCATGGAAGTCCCCCAGCTTCGGGATGTGACAAAGGGCCTTCCTTTAGTGACCGTGTGTTTCTTGTTGACATGTTGCTTTCAGTCAGGTTTTTCCTCCCTAATTGGAAGGTGACCTATTTTTAAAAAGGGGAGGGGATAAAGCTCAGGAGCAGGTATGGTGACTGGTTGGTAGGAGGCCGAGCTCCCGGCCCATGCAGGCAAGGGAGGGTGCTTCTCAGGATGCTGGGCACTCCGGCAGGTTTGGGCAGAGCAGGTTCGGCCTTCTCAATGATGCCATCTGTCCCAGCTGTCCCCGGAAAGGTGGCAGTGCCCAACTTAGTTTAGTTCAGTTGGGAATTTTTCAAATAATAAATTACATAGTTTTATGCTTTTGAAAATAGCTTAACCTCCCCCCCCCGGCCGATTTGGCTCAGCAGTTAGAGCATCACCCGCAGACCAAAGGGTCGTGAGTTTAATTCTGGTCAGGGGCATGTCCCGGGTTGCAGGTTTGAGCCCCAGTCGGGGTCGTGTGGTAGGCAACCAATCAATGTGTCTCTCGCATTGATGTTTCTCTTCCACTCTAAAAAGTCAATGGAAAAATATCCTAAGGTGAGAATTAACAAAGAAAGAAAATAGCTAACCCTTTCTGGCTAGAGTTGGTAGTAATCTCTTTAATTTGCTTACAGGCAGCAGACCTGGGGCCTCACAGGCCCTGCCTGGCACACTGTGTGCCCCTCAGCCCAGTCCGACTTCACGTCTGTCTGTGCCTGCCGGCTGCCCCTTGAAACTGCTGATGTCACACCTTCTCCTGAAGGCCACTTGCTTCCTAATGGAGGGTTGGATATTGGATACTTAAGCTTGATGAGGCTAGGCTTAAGTTTGATCTGTGTGTGGACACTGTCCTCGCTGCACCAAGAGGTGAGGCTAGGGCACAGGCACAGGCTGTGGCCAGAGTCTCCCATCTGCAGGTGGTCAAGGGGCAACCTGAGCCCAAGGAGCACAGCTCGGGGCCTGTGACTGTCAGGACAGGGAAGGTTTGAGGGACCCTCCATGGGGGACAAGACTGGCCTTGCGCTTTGAATGCAGGAGCAGGGGCTCAGGACAGAAGAGAGGCAGCAGAGGTTGGTCTGGCGGGGTGGGGGGCAGCAGTGACTATGCAGCTGCACCGCCCACTACAGGCTGCAGGTCTGTCCTTCGTGTCCATCTGTAAGAGGAGCAGCTGCAGCGCCCCCTACAGGCTGCAGGTCTGTCCTTCCGTGTCCATCTGTGAGAGCAGCTGCAGCGCCCCCTACAGGCTGCAGGTCTGTCCTTCGGTGTCCATCTGTGAGAGGAGCGGCTGCACCGCCCACTACAGGCTGCAGGTCTGTCCTCCGGTGTCCATCTGTGAGAGGAGCAGCTGCACCGCCCCCTACAGGCTGCAGGTCTGTCCTTCGTGTCCATCTGTGAGAGGAGCGGCTGCAGCGCCCACTACAGGCTGCAGGTCTGTCCTTCGTGTCCATCTGTGAGAGGAGCAGCTGCACCGCCCACTACAGGCTGCAGGTCTGTCCTTCGTGTCCATCTGTGAGAGGAGCGGCTGCACTAGACACTTCCCAGCTTTCCTCCACCTGATCAGCGACTTTTCGACCACTTTGATGGGCAGTGATGATAGCTGCTGCCCTGGCTGGTTTGGCTCAGCAGTTGGAGCGTTGGACTGCAGACCAAAGAGTCGTGGGTTCATTTCTGGTCAAGGGCACGTACCTCAGTTGCGTTTCGGACCCCAGCCCTGTTTGGGTAGTGTGGGAGGCAACCAGTTGATGTGCCTCTCTCACGTTGATATTTTTCTCTCTCTCCTTCCCCCTCCCACTCTATCTGAAGATAAATGGTAAAATGTCCTCAAGTGAGGATTAAAAAGAAAAAAAATAGCTACCACTTCTGTGCTGGGTGTTGCTATGCGCCAGACACTGTTACGAAGTGTATTAGCACACACATTTACAAAGTATGCTCTCAAAACACAGACAGGTTAAGTTACTTGCTCAAGGTCACACAGCAATAAGTAGTGGAGCTAGAATTTGAACTAGGACAGTCTGCTCCAGAGCTCAGGTCCTCACTGCTGGCAGCAAGCCAGGTGCAGAGAGCTGACAGGTGGGAAGAGTTGGGTGTGCTTCTGACGTAAGTTGGAGCCTGTGGCCACCTAGAGGTACATGACCAGGGAGAGGTCCTAGTGACAGGTGAGGTGAGGAGAAGACTGAAACTAGAGAGGACTGTGTGGGTTAGTTGTCCCAGTTCGCTATAGACGGTGTCTGTCTCTGCTGCAGTCAGAAGACAGTCTCGCCCTGGCCGGTTTGGCTCAGCAGTTAGAGCGTCGGCCTGCGGTCCAGAGAGATCCGGGTTCGGTTCCCGCTAAGGGCGTGTACCTTGGTTGCAGTTTGTCCCCGGCCCTGGTTGGGTCGTGCGGGAGGCAACCACTCGATGTGTCCCTTTCACATCGATGTTTCTCTCTCTCTTCTGTCTCTCCCTCCCACTCTATCTGAACAAAGAATGGAAAAATGTCCTTGGGTGAGGATAATAAAAAAAGAAGATGGTCTCTTCATTGAGTACAAGCTCTGGCTGGGCACCAAGAGCCGGGTGGCACAGTCCCTGCTCCAGACACTCAGGCTGCAGTGGGCCTCCTTGAGGCCGTTTTGCGGGTGGACACTGAGGATGCAGCTGCGTGGGGCCCAGAAGAGCAGGCCGGCCTGTGGGTCTCAGTGCAGACCTAGAGGGCGCTGGGCCTCAGCCCAGTGGGGATGAAGTGTGCATGATGGACTGGAGTGCCACGGGCTAGAAGGGCAGACTGGGTCAGGGGTCTGAGTGTGCATGGTGTCTGCCCATGCCGACAAGGAGGCCCTTGCAGAGTGGAGTGAGCAGTGCAGGGCAGAGCAGGGGGAAGTGGGCTTTGGGCTTCGGGCTTCACTCGGTTGTCACCATTTTGCACAAACGCCTTTGGGCAGCTGATTCATCGGTCTGGGTCACCACCGTCGATTCGAGCATCCTCACTGATTTTTAGGACTTGCTAGGAATTGCAGGTCCTTGTAGAAAGTCACCTGTTAGGGGATAGGACCTCCTTCCTCCACATCCCACCCCCAAATTATCAATGTCTGGGAACCAGCCTTGGAGACCCAGCCAGAGTGGTGTCTGTCTGTTTTGGAGTCAAATTTTTGTGTTTGTGTCTAACCTGCCCCTTTGAGGTCCCCGCTCTGGAGGGGAAGGGCTCCTGGGCAGGTGTCCGGCATCGGGGAGTGGGGGGAAGTTGTTCCTGAGCTGGGAAGCCGGGGTGTGTGGCTGACATGCGGTGGGAGGTCAGAGGTGCAGCTGTCTCTCCTCTTCTTTCCCAGGTATTTTCCGTTGAGCAGCTGCTCTCCCGCGCACCCCCTGCACCTTCCCTTCGGAGGCGATCGCCTGGGCTGCTGGACTCTGAGGCCCCACGCCGCGTGCGCGGCGGCCCCGGTGCCGCGGGCCCCGGCCGGCCTGCTGGGCGCCGGGCCGCGGGGCCTGCTGGCGCGCTGCTGGCACTCATCGCCGCCGCTGCGCGACGACTCCCTGGTGGAGAAGTCCCTCAAGTCCCTGAAGGACAAGAACAAGAAGCTGGAGGAGGGGGGGCCGGTGTACAGCCCCCCGGCGGAGGTGGCGGTGAAGAAGTCCCTGGGGCAGCGCGTGGCGGACGAGCTGAAGCACTACTACCACGGCTTCCGCCTGCTCTGGATCGACACCAAGATCGCGGCGCGCATGCTCTGGCGCATCCTCAACGGCCACACGCTGACCCGCCGCGAGCGCAGGCAGGTAATCAGCCCGCCCGCAGCCGCACCTGCCGGCTGTCCCGCGCCGGCTGTCCCGAGGCCCGCACCTGCCGGCTGTCCCTCGGGGTCTGTGTTCTCGGCCCCCGGGTTCCACGGGCGTGTCCCCAGTGCAGAACTGGGCTCGCTGCTCCGGGCTCTCAGGGGCTTCTGGTCAGGCATTGGGGTCTGTGTTCTCGGCCCCCGGGTTCCACGGGCGTGTCCCCAGTGCAGAACTGGGCTCGCTGCTCCGGGCTCTCAGGGGCTTCTGGTCAGGCATTGGGGTCTGTGTTCTCGGCCCACGGTTCCACTGGCGTGTCCCCAGTGCAGAACTGGGCTCGCTGCTCGCGGCTCTCGGGGCTTCTGGTCAGGCATTGGGGTCTGTGTTCTCGGCCCCCGGGTTCCACGGGCGTGTCCCCAGTGCAGAACTGGGCTCGCTGCTCCGGGCTCTCAGGGGCTTCTGATCAGGCATTGGGGTCTGTGTTCTCGGCCCCCGGGTTCCACGGGCGTGTCCCCAGTGCAGAACTGGGCTCGCTGCTCCGGGCTCTCAGGGCTTCTGGTCAGGCATTGGGGTCTGTGTTCTCGGCCCCCGGGTTCCACGGGCGTGTCCCCAGTGCAGAACTGGGCTCGCTGCTCCGGGCTCTCAGGGCTTCTGGTCAGGCATTGGGGTCTGTGTTCTCGGCCCCCGGTTTCCACGGGCGTGTCCCCAGTGCAGAACTGGGCTCGCTGCTCTGGGCTCTCAGGGGCTTCTGGTCAGGCATTGGGCACAGCTTGTGAAAGGCTTCCTTCTGTTTCCAGGTGCTCAGACCTCGGTCTCTCTCATTTATTTACTTATTTTTAAAACCTCACCCAAGGATACATTTTGCCATTTTTTATCTTCAGACAGAGTGGGAGGAGGGGAGAGAGAGAGAGACAGACACACTAACTGGTCGCCTCCCACACAACCCCTACCTGGGCTGGGGACGCTCTACTGCTGAGCCAAACTGGCCAGGGTTGGTCTTTCTTATTTGGCCCATGAAATAAATTACAGTTGTGCTGTAAGTTTTTCCTTCTTCCATCTTTTCTGTTTTGCTGAGTCCCAGGGGACAAGGCAGGGGTAGCTTCAAGCTCTCAGTGTCCTGAGACCCTCCAAGGATAGGCACAGATGTGTTCCTCCCTCCAAGTTGACCACCAGAGAAGTCCCTCGTGAGAAAATGGGGACTTGAGCACATTCTGGGAATTAGCTGTTACCTGTGAGAGTAACTGGCTTCTGACTTTTTTTTGTTGTTGTTTATTTTATCCTCACTGGAAGATATTTTTTCCGTTGATTTAAAAAAATTGTAATTTTTTTTTTCTATTTATTATTTTATTTAGTTTTTTTTTTTTTTTTTTAATCCTCACCCGAGGACATTTTTCCATCTTTTGTACAGATAGAGTGGGAGGGAGAGAGAGAAACATCGACGTGAAAGGGACACATCGAGTGGCTGCCACCCGCACGACCAACCAGGGCCGAGGACAAACTGCAACCGAAGTATGTGCCCTTAGCGGGAACCGAACCCGGGTCTCTCTAGACCGCAGGCCGATGCTCTAACCGCTGAGCCAAACTGGCCAGGGCTGTCTTTTATTTTTGATAGAGTGGGACAAGAGAGAGGATGAGAGAGAGAAACATCGACATGAAAGGGACATATCAAGTGACTGCCTCCCACACAACCCCAAACAGGGCAGGGCATGAATTGCAACCGAGGTACGTGCCCTTGGCTGGAATTGAACTCGCGACTCATTGGTCTGTGGGCCGACGCTCTACTGCTGAACCAAACCAGCCAGGGCTAAAAAAATTGTAATTTTTTTTTTTATCCTCACCCGAGGACATTTTTCCATTTTTTGTTCAGATAGAGTGGGAGGGAGAGACAGGAAGAGAGAGAGAGAGAGAGAAACATTGACGTGAAAGGAACATATCGAGTGGTTGCCACCCGCACGACCCATCCAGGGCTGGAGACAAACTGCAACTGAGGTACATGCCCTTAGCTGGAACCGAACCCTGGTCTCTCTGGACCGTAGGCCGACGCTCCAACCGCTGAGACAAACCAACCAGGGCAAAAAATTGTTATTTTTAAAAGATTGTTTAAAAGTTTTGTTTTTATTGATTTTTTTTTTTTTTTTTTTTTATCCTCACCTGAGGACATTTTTGCATTTCAGATAGAGCGGGAGAGAGAGAGGGAGGAAGAGAGAGAGAAACATCGATGTCTGACTGGTTGCTACCCTGCTACCCACACGATCCCAACAGAGGCCAGGGACAAACCGCAACTGAGGTACGTGCCCTTAGCAGAACCGAACCCAGGCCTCTCTGGTCCGTGGGCTGACGCTCCAACCGCTGAGCCAAACCAGCCAGGGCTTTATTGATTTCTTTAGAGAGAGAGAGGAAGGGAGAGGGAAATAGAAACATTGATTGGCTGCCTCCTGCATGCCCCCAACTGGGGGTCGAGCCTGCAACCCTGGGTATGTGTCTCGACCAAGAATTGAACCCAAGACTTCTTGATGCATGACATGACACTGAATCACACTGACCAGGCTATTTTTTTTCCCCTTTTTAATCCTCACCTAAAGATATTTTTCCATTGATTTTTAGATAGAGTGGGAGGGGAGGAAGGGAGAGAAAGAGAAACATGGATGTGAGAGAGACATTGTTGTGAGAGAGACACATCGATTGGTTGCCTCCCACACAACCCCAACCAGTTCAGGGGGAGGAGGCAGGGGGATCAAACCTGCAACTGAGGTACATGCCCTTGACTGGGATTTGAACCTGAGACTCTTCAGTCCTTGGCCAGTGGTCTGACCACTGAGCCACACCGGCCAGGGCTGGTCTCTGATTTTATTATACTTGTTCTCAAGAATTTAATTGACAACATAGGTTGTTTTTAATTGGCCGGGATTTTCCAAGCGATGTTGTTTTAGAAGAGTGCAGATTGATGATTTGAAGAATGAAGAACTGAATTAGAATTCCAGAGTCATCTTTTTTTTTTTTTTTTTTTGAATCCTCACCCGAGGACACTTTTTTCGTTTTTTGCTCAGATAGAGTGGGAGGGAGAGAGAGGAGGAGAGAGAGAGAGAGAAACATCGACGTGAAAGAGACACATCGAGTGGCTGCCACCCGCACGACCAACCAGGGCCGGGGACAAACTGCAACCGAGGTACATGCCCTTAGCGGGAACCGAACCCGGGTCTCTCTGGACCACAGGCCGATGCTCCAACCGCTAAGCCAAACCGGCCAGGGCCAGAGTCATCTTATTAGTGCTCACTGGACATTGGTTACAATGCACATTGTCTTTGGGGCAATGACAAGATAGTGCTTTATGACTCCGTTTCCCTCCTGCTCCTCGCTGTCCCGTTCCACTGTGAAAGCTACAGATTGTTTGCTACTTCACTGAAGACGATATGAACTGTTACTAAAAAGAGAGTAAGTCCCTGGTAAGGTCGCACGGATCGAGGCGGTCAGTGGTGATGGGTCCTGTCGTCAGCACCGAGAAGAGGGTTTGTGGAGCTGTGCTGTTTTTCTTGGTTTGGGGCTTCATAGATAATGTGAATTTGAACAAGATGTTAGTGATACTGATAATTACAGAGATGTGACTCTTCAAATTATGCTATTTACAAAGGCAAAGAAGAAAGCACATTATAAATTTAAAGATATAGAAAATTTATGCAAGTATTGCTCAAGTGGAAGGTGCATTTGAAATGTGAATTTAAGTTTATGTAACTTGAATGCTTGCTCGTCATGTTCTAGAGCAGTGGTTCTCAACCTGTGGGTGGTGACCCCTTTGGGGGTCAAACGACCCTTTCACATATTTCCGATGGTCTTAGGAACCAAGACACCGCTCCTCTATCCGTGTCCAGGCAGGTCGGCCCACGTACAATACGAGGAACTGTAGTAAAGGGTGTGGCATTAGGAAGGTTGAGAACCACTGCTCTAGAGAATGACCAAGGTGTCAGGGTTGCTGTGGAGCAGGGTTTGGTGTGGAGCCGGTGTCGGTGTGGAGAAAGGGTTGGTGTGGAACAGGGTTGCTGTGGAGCAAGGGTTGCTGTGGAGCAGGTGTTGCTGTGGAGCAGGTGTTGCTGTGGAGCAGGTGTTGCTGTGGAGTAGGGGGTGGAGCAGGTGTTGCTGTGGAGTAGGGGGTGGAGCAGGTGTTGCTGTGGAGCAGGGGGTGGAGCAGGTTGCTGTGGAGCAGGTGTTGCTGTGGAGCAGGGGGGGTGGAGCAGGTGTTGGTGTGGAGCAGGGGGTGGAGCAGGTGTTGGTGTGGAGCAGGGGGTGGAGCAGGTTGCTGTGGAGCAGGGGGTGGAGCAGGTGTTGCTGTGGAGCAGGGGGGGTGGAGCAGGGAGTGGAGCAGGTGTTGGTGTGGAGCAGGGGATGGAGCAGGTGTTGGTGTGGAGCAGGGGGTGGAGCAGGTGTTGGTGTGGAGCAGGGGGTGGAGCAGGTGTTGGTGTGGAGCAGGGGGTGGAGCAGGTGTTGGTGTGGAGTAGGGGGTGGAGCAGGTGTTGGTGTGGAGCAGGGGGTGGAGCAAGGTTGCTGTGGAGCAGGGGTTGCTGTGGAGCAGGGTTGCTGTGAAGCAGGGGGTGGAGCAAGGTTGGTGTGGAGCAGGGGGTGGAGCAGGGTTGCTGTGGAGCAGGGGGTGGAGCAAGGTTGCTGTGGAGCAAGGGTTGGTGTGGAGCAGGGTTGCTGTGAAGCAGGGGGTGGAGCAAGGTTGGTGTGGAGCAGGGTTGCTGTGAAGCAGGGGGTGGAGCAAGGTTGCTGTGGAGCAGGGGGTGGAGCAGGGGTTGCTGTGGAGCAGGTGTTGGTGTGGAGCAGGGTTGCTGTGGAGCAGGGTTGCTGTGGAGCAGGTGTTGGTGTGGAGCAGGGGGTGGAGCAGGGTTGCTGTGGAGCAGGGTTGCTGTGGAGCAGGGGGTGGAGCAGGGTTGCTGTGGAGTAGGGGTTGGGAAGCAGTTTTGTGTCTTGACTCTGGAACCAGGGACCTATAGCACCCAGTGCAATGAGGGTTTCTGTCCCCCAAATGTTCCGCTGACACCGGAGACCCAGCTTCCCAATCGAGTGCTTTAAATGTCAGGGCAAAGGTGACAGCAGCCAGGAGCACATGCTGATGTCAGGGCAGTCAGAGCGTGTGCCGACCGCGTGGAGAAGTGTGTGGCGTGCTGTGCAGGGAGAGACTGCTGTCATCAGCCTCAGTGCTTGCCCGAGTTGACCGAGTGTTCTTTCAGCGGAGTGCGCTGAGGGCTGACCCACTGTCGAGAAGCTGCAGTTGGAGGGTGGTCGGAGCCCAGGTCTCTGTCTCCACCTGCTCCCACTTCTCCCTCCAGGATGGTCCCTCCAGCACTTGCTAACGGTGCAGCAGTTGAGGGTCGACCCCTCCCGTGCACTGCTTCCCTCAGGTTGCCGAGCCGACTGTTGAAAGTCACGGTGTAGCCTCCTTGAGTCCCAGAATGACCTGTGTTTCTCACTAGTGTGGCTTTAAATGGCTCCCATCTGATCCTGGTCCTTCCTGCTGTTGAGCCTTCTGCCCCCTTTCAGTCTGGTGACCAGGCCTAACCCTGGTGGAACGAACACACCTGACTCCTAGCCCCCGGCTCCTCATCGCCCCACGGAGAGGGGCCAGGGCTCCTTGGAAACACAGCCGACCCAGGGCTGGGAGGGCAGCGCTACGGGATGAACCCGTGCCCGTGCGTGGGCGGCTCCAAACACCCTCGGGCTGCCTGGGAATAAAACAGGACCTTCATTTTTCCCAGCAATGACGTGTGGTTTCACATATTCTGATGCCAGTACAGATGGAATTCTTTTTTACCGTGGTGACACAGCCTGAATTCTGCCATGAGGCACGCAGTCTGTGGCAGGACGCCCATTCCTGCTGTGTGCCAGTCACCACGTCCATCTCCCGAACTCTTCCGTCTTCTCAAACTGACACTCCATCCCCATTAAACAGCAGCTCCCCACGGCCCCTCCCCAGCTCCTGGCCACCTCTATTCTCCATTCTGTCTCTGAATTCGACCACATTGGGGACCTTGTGTAGGTGGAACCATAGGGTGTTTTCCTTTTCGTGACTGGCTTGTTTCACTGAGCACGGATGCTCTCAGGACCCGTCCTGCCGCAGCAGGTGTCAGCCGCCGCCCGCCGTGTGCAAGGGCCGCCCGTTCACCCCGTGGCAGCCTCGGCATGCTTCCGTCCTCTGGCTCTTGTAGGTAAATTGAGTTTTTAAAGTTTCAGTTTTCGATTGTTAGCATATAGAATTAGGACTATTTTTATTTAATTTTTTTTTATTCTCACCTGAGGACATTTTTCCATTTTTTGTTCAGATAGAGCAGGAGGGAGAGAGAGGAAGAGAGAGAGAGAAACATCGATGTGAAAGGGACACATCGAGTGGCCGCCACCCACACGACCCAATCAGGGCCAGGGACAAACTGCACCTGAGGCACGCGTCCTTAGCCCGAACTGAACCCGGGTCTCTCTGGACCGCAGGCCGACGCTCTAACCGCTGAGCCAAACCGGCCAGGGCAATAGAACTATTTTTAGATATTGATCTTGTATCTCACAGACTTATCAAACTCATTTATTAGTTCTAACATCTTGTAAAGGTCTTCAGTTTTTATCAACAGTTGCTTTTGGATTTTATGAAATGTGTTTTCTGCATCTATTTAGATAATTCTGTGGTTTTACTTTCTTTAAGTTTTATTAATTATTAAATGATTCAGGTTGTCAGATCAAAAAGGAAGCCCCAAGCCCTGGCTGGTGTGGCTCAGCAATTAGAGCATTGGCCCAAGGACCAAAGAATCACAGGCCTATTCCTGGTCAAGGGCACGTACCTGGGTTTCACGTTTGATCCCTGGCGGGAGGCAGCCAATTGATGTGTCTTTCTCACATTGTTTCTCTGTCCCCCCTCCCCGCCCCCTCTTTCACTCTCTCTGGAAATCAGTGGAAAAATATCCTCAGGTGAGGATTAACAAAAAAAGGAAGACCCAGCGATATGCATTCTGTAAGAAATGTGCCTTGTCCGGCCGGTGTGGCTCAGTGGTTGAGCGTTCGATTCCTGGTCAGGACACATGGCCAAGCTATGGGCCCGATCCCCAGTAGGGGCCATGCAGGAGACGGCCAGTCTGTTCTCTCTCTCCTTCTCCCTTTCTCTGTCTCTAAAATCAGTAAAGAAAACAATTTTTTTAAAAATGCCTTAAATGCAAAGATGCATGTAGATTAGAAGTAAAAGAATCACCCTGGCCATTATGGCTCAGCGGTTAGAGCATTGGCTTGCGGACCAGAGAGACCCAGGTTCGGTTCCTGCTAAGGGCACGTACCTTGGTTGCAGTTTGTCATCACCCTGGTTGGGGTCATGTGGGTGGCATCCACTCGATGTGTCTCTCTCACATCGATGTTTCTCTCTCTCTCTCCCCCTCTCCCTCCCTCCCGCTCTATCTGAAGATAAATGAAAAAAACAAAAGTGAAAGAATTGCCCTGGCTGGTGTGGCTCAGTGACTAGAGCCTAGGCCCACAGACTGAGGGGTCATGGGTTTAATTCCCAGTCAAGGGCACGTAGCTGGGTTGCAGGTTCAATACTTGGCCCTGGTCAGGGTTGTGGGGAAGGCAACCAATCGATGTGTCTCTCTCACATTGTTATTTCCTTTCTCTTTCTTTGCCACCCCCTTAAAAAATAAGAATGGACAAAGCTAAGTGGTGCTACCACTGATCAAAAGAAAGCTGGTGTGAGTTGGCCTATGGACCAATGTTGGACCAATGAGTTGCAGGTTCGATTCTGGCCAAGGGCACGTACTTCGGTTGCGTTTCATCCCCGGTCCTGGTTGGGGTCGTGTGGGAGGCAACCACTTGATGTGTCTCTCTCACATCGCTGTTTCTCTTTCTTTCTTTCCCTGTCTCTCCCTCCCAGTCTATCTGAAGATAAATAGAAAAATATCCTTGGGTTAGGATTAAAAAAATAAAAATTAAATTTAAAAAAGCTGGTATGGTCACATCAATATCAAGGTAGATTTCAGAGAAAGAATTACCAGGGATGAAGAAGGTCATTTCGTAATGATAAAGAGGTCAGGCCATCCAGAGGACATAGCGTTCCTAATGTTCACGCACCTAAAAAGCGTGTTGTGTGGTTCCGCCGATGGGAAATGCCCAGAACAGGCAAGTCTATGGGGACACCGAGTCGTCGTTCGCTGGCTGAGGGGCCGTGGGGGAGCGCAGGGGGCACGGGGTTCGGGGCCTGAGGGGAGCTTGCTAAGGGGGGTGAGCGATGGTCTTACAGTCTGTAAGTTTACCAAAAATCATTGAATTATACACATAAAAAGGGTAAATGTCACGGTGTGTAAATGAAACCTCAATGGAACTGCTGAAAAACATTCACGTAGATACGTCGAGAACACACCCCCACTTGAAGGGTCTTTCTGTGGCTAAACCTGGGACCATTTGACCATAAAAATAAAAACAGGAATGACTTGCAAACAAATGAAAAACAGCCCTGGCCGGTTTGGCTCAGCGGTTAGAGCGTCGGCCTGCGGTCCGGAGAGACCCGGGTTCGGTTCCCGCTAAGGGCACGTACCTCGGTTGCAGTTTGTCCCCGGCCCTGGTTGGTCGTGCGGGTGGCAGCCACTCGATGTGTCCCTTCACATCAATGTTTCTCTCTATCTCTCTCTTCCTCTCTCTCCCTCCCGCTCTATCTGAACAAAAAATGGAAAAATGTCCTCGGGTGAGGATAAAAAAAAACAAATGAAAAATATAGGAATCCATGAGTCTGTTTTGATAATAAGTAGGAAAATGAACATGAAGAAAAGACAGCGAGGTTGGTGAGCTGGGGAGGTGGACGTCAGGTAGGCAGTCGATGCGGAGCAGACATGGTTTGGAAGGAGCGGGGTGCGCGGCCTAGGGAGAGGTGGCTGTGGGGCCTCGGAGCGCCCCCCACGCACGCGTTCCTGCCCCGCCCAGGAAGGGCAGCCGGCACTCGAGCACTCGGGAAGGGTGCTCAGCGGGAACGTGCCGCCCAGACCAGGTGTGGGCACGCAGCACTCCTCCAGAGCCCGGCGGGTCAGTCCCCTGGGCACGTGGTGAGAGACGGCAGTTCCAGGCGAGCTGCAGTGTGCTAGGTGGTCGCAGAGAGAAGGCTTTGTCTCTGCCCGGGGACTCCTGGCGGCCTCCGGAGCGAGTCTGCAGCGGCACCAGCAGCAGCGCGTTCACGCTCAGGGGGCACTCGGGCCGTTTCCAACGACTGCTGTGTAGTCTGCTCCTGGTCGAGCTGTCTCCCTGGAAAATGCAGGGACGTGCACTGTGTTTGGGGCGGGCGGGGTGGCCACAGCCTTCCAGCAGTGACCAGTCCTCAGCTGTCACTCTCTGCGAGGCCAGCCTGTGGGCAGCACTGTGTCTGCCTCGGCTGTTCCTCGGAGCAGGACCCCTGGGTCCGGGGTCAGCGCCATCGGGGAAGCCCCGGCGCGCCCAGTGGTGAGGGCCGCTGTTTGCGCAGGTTCAGCTCCCGGCCAGCTTTCCTGAGGGCCGAGGCAGAAAGCAGTGGTCCCCGGGAGTTGTCTGGGGCCTGCAGCTCTTGGCCCTGCAGGACACGCCACCGTGACCTCTGACCACACTGCTCTTCGCAGTTTCTCCGGATCTGCGCCGACCTCTTCCGCCTGGTGCCCTTCCTGGTCTTCATCGTGGTGCCCTTCATGGAGTTCCTGCTGCCCGTGGTCGTGAAGCTCTTCCCCAACATGCTGCCGTCCACCTTCGAGACCCAGTCCATCAAGGTGAGGCCGCATGCACCGCAGGGTCAGACGCTGTGACGCTCTGTTCCCCGTGACCGTCAGCCCTCTGGGGTGTTTACCAGATGTAGGTGTTCAGGCTGCAATCTTCTTACATGTGTTTGACACATGGTTTCTCTAGATTCGTGTCTCCAAGCCTGGGCTGAAACCCATTTGTGGGGGTGGGATCCAGGTCAGCCCCAGCCATGCAGCCCTGCCTTCCGGGCACCCGAGTGCCCAGCCGTGTGCGTGCTCCTGCCAGCTCCGCTCTGGGCCCCGTGTGTGTGCGGCCAGGAGCTGGAGCGAGGTCCTGCACACCGCGCGTGGGTGAAGGGCCCTGGGCAGAGGAGTGCAGTGCCCTCTCTGCCCACAGGAGGAAAGGCTGAAGAAGGAGCTGCGGGTCAAGCTGGAGCTGGCCAAGTTTCTGCAGGACACCATCGAGGAGATGGCCCTGAAGAACAAGGCCGCCAAGGGGAACGCCACCAAAGACTTCTCCGTGTTCTTCCAGAAGGTGCCCTGACGCTCCGGAGCCCTTGCGGCCTCAGCCCACTGGTCCTTAGTGCTGGTTAGAGCCTCGGCCACCTGCTTCACCTGGGGAGTGGTCCTCATTGCCAGCCTCCCTGTTTCTGCTGCAGCCACAGGGGCATTCCCAGACGGGCGGTGCTCCTGCCCACAGGTTCATGGGAGGCTCCCTCCAGCCAGTGAGGTTGAGCCTCTGTCCAGAGAACTTGAACCTGCTGACATTCAGTCACTTGCCTGTGTCTCCAACTTTGCAGCAGCCCTGGGGGAGGGGAGTTTGGGAGCCGAGGATCTAAAACGCTGCAGTGACAAGCCGGGAGGGGAGGGCGGGTGGAGGAGTGGGCGGATCACAGGCTGCTGCACAGCTACGTCTGTCCACGGTGGGGAGGGGAGGGACTGTAGGGCTTCCTGCCCAGCAGTGAGAGTCCCGGGCCTCTCCAGGCACCAGCCTCACTGCGGTCTGGGTGCCCTTGGCACTGCTCTGCGACTGGGCCTGATGGCCCGGGTGCTCACACCCTGTCCTCGGCTCCTCATTTGGGGCAAGTGGCCCCTGGGCCTGGGAGGGTGTGGGGGAGGGAGCGTGGGGGGCACAGGCCCCGCTGTGGATAACCCTCAGCACTGCTCCTGCAGATCCGAGAGACCGGGGAGAGGCCCAGCAACGAGGAAATCATCCGGTTCTCCAAACTGTTCGAGGACGAGCTGACCCTGGACAACCTCACGCGGCCGCAGCTCGTGGCGCTGTGCCGGCTGCTGGAGCTGCAGTCCATGGGCACCAACAGCTTCCTGCGCTTCCAGCTCACCATGCGGCTCCGCTCCATCAGGGCCGACGACAAGGTGGGCGGCTGGGCCCAGGCCCTGGCCGGCGTGCCTCCCCCGCCTCCCCGGGTCCTCGCTCAGTCCTCATGGCTCTGCTCAGGGTTAATGTTTTTAAGATTTCAGTTCCTGCCCTGGCCGGTTTGTCTCAGCAGTTAGAGCATCGGCCCGCGGACCAGAGAGACCCGGGTTCAGTTCCCTTTAAGGGCATGTACCTCGGTTGCAGTTTGTCCCTGGCCCTGGTGGGGATTATATGGGTGGCAACCATTTGATGTGTCCCTCTCACATCGATGTTTCTCTCTCTTCCTCCCTTTCTCCCTTCCACTCTATCTGAAGATAAATGCAAAGAAAGGTCCTTGGGTGAGGATAAAAAAAAAAGGTTTCAGTTCCCACATAACGTTCTCCATTCTTGCCCTGTGTTTCCTCGAACGTGCTAATCTTGGCTAGTGTCTGACTGTTCCAATAACAGCGTGGAATAGAGGGCTTTTGTTTGCTTTCTGTCTTGGTTTAGCTCGTTTACAGTATTTAGTTTTTTCAAATACAGACACTGAAAAGTTACAGAGATCTGGGTGGCATGGTCCTCCTCCAGGAGAAGGCTCTCTGCCCCATGGCATCGCGGCATCTGGGCTGGGCCTGTTTCTGTTGCGCCCTCCCTGCTCGGTGCCAGCTCCTCATCCTGCCCTGCTCAGCTGAGACAGCAGGGTGGTTTCCTGTGCCCCCCTTTTCTCTGGGCTGTAGCCCTCAAGGCTCGTCTGCCTCGGCAGCCCTGGACTCCCGCCCTTCTGAGCCCGGTGAGTTCTCTCGGTTTCTCAGCAGTGCCTTCGGCCTGGACTCTCGGCCCAGCTGGCACCTGCTGCTGGGTCCTGTTGGCTCACAGATGGCAGCTCACACCGCAGGGTTGCCTGATCCAGCCTGGTCCACAGACTGTCGCCGTCCCCGGCCCTGGCCGCCTCAGCCCCAGATGTCTGTCCTGTCCTGTCCCCGGCTCCCCGTCCTCAGCCTGTGGAGACGACTCCTCCGCGCAGCTGCAGCTCGTGTCGTCCCCGAGCGTGTGCGCGGACAGGAGGGCTCTTCTGGGCACACTGGCTTCTGCCCGTGGAGCGCGCTCAGGATGCCGCCCTGCTCGAGAGCCGGGGGCTGGCGGGGGCGCCCTGAGTGCGTCCTGTTCCGGGAGCGCCTGCGGTGTGACTGCCCCTCAGGAGAAGCGCTCAGGGCAGGCGGCCGGGCTGAGCCCTGCCCCCTCGCTGTGAGACTGGACAAGGCTCTCACTGCTGAGGCCTCAGATGCCACAGCAGAGAGCAGCCGGACCTCCGCTGTGCAGAGGGTGGGTGGGACACTCCAGCGGGACAGGAAGGAGGAAGGAAATATCAGAAGACTGCGGTGTGAGGAGACGAAGACCCTGGGACCCCAGGAACAGCACAGTGGGCCTTTGTGCCTCGGAGATCCCAGCCTTGGGGAGCACGAAAGCCTGCCACGGAGAGGCTGCCCGGGGGCACCACAGACTCTGGCCCCACCCCACACACAACAGTGGGTGGGGCTGCGACCTCCACCCCCTGATGGTCCTGAGATACTCCTGCCCCCTCGGGTGGTTTCGGTGGAGGCCAGGTGGGGCCAGTAATGAGGTTCTCCTGCCTCTCCCAGCCAGGGAGGTCTGTGAGGCTGGCTGGGGAGCCACGACCCCAGCTGCCCAGCAGAAACATCAGCCTCCTCCCCCGGGGTCCGCGGAGGCCCAGTGGGAAGCCTAGCAGCAGCGAGCTAGCACCTGCCTGTCCCAGAGTGTACGTGGGAGCAGTTTATGGGGTTGAGGGGCAGCATGAAGAGCTCAGAGCTGGCCGAAGGAGCCTGCTGGTCGTTGCCCCTCAGGGCACCGCTGAGGCCCACATGAGGCCTGGGCGCCCCGGGCAGCAGCAGAAGCCGCCAGGGAGGAGCCGGGGGAGGAGCCGGGACTCGGTGTCCCTGTGGTGAGGGCCCTGCTCGAGACTGCTGCGCGACAGTGAAGCAGGCCGGGTCTGTGGTTGGAGGGTGAGGCAGGGTGTCCGCGCGCCTGCCAAGCTGCGCTCCCTGGGAGAGGCAGGCAGCTTCGGCCGTCGTTTTTTGTTTTTGTTTTTTATCCTCACCCGAGGATATTTTTCTATTTTTTGTACAGATAGAGTGGGAGGGAGAGAGAGGAAGAGAGAGAGAGAGAGAAACATCGATGTGAAAGGGACACATCGAGTGGCTGCCACCCGCACGACCAACCAGGGCCGGGGACAAACTGCAACCGAAGTACGTGCCCTTAGCGGGAACCGAACCCGGGTCTCTCCGGACCGCAGGCCGACGCTCTAACCGCTGAGCCAAACTGGCCAGGGCCCGGCCGTCATTTGGATCGCCAGATGCAGATCATCAATGACAACATCTGCGGAAGTTACTGAGAACACTGCCCTTCACCCCGCAGCCATGTCAGAGGGCGCCAGCGAAGACAGACGATTGAAACAAGACCCAGAGTTGGTGACAGTGCTCAGAACACCCAGGCTTCAATGGAAATCTGCCAAGAACCAGAAGGATCCAAAATGGGTGGAGACGGTAACCAGTGGCTGCCGGCACCAAGAGGATGGGTCAGAGGCGGGCGGTCTCAGAGCAGCCACGGCCGGGAGGACTGAGCCACGAGGACACGGTCTGCACAGACGACAGACGGCCGGTGAGCCTCAGCACAGCACAGCAGAGAGCAGAGTGAGGAGGTGCAGGCCTCGGGCACCTGTGGGGCTTGCAAGACTACCAGCGAGTGTCGTCGGGCTCCGGGCAGAGGAGGGACAGCAGAGCAGGAAAAGTGCAGCTAAGAGACCCACCAAGACACATCGGAGTCGAACTAATGAGCACTGCAGGACAGGAGTAACGAGAGCAGTGAGGGACAGCGACATCTCACCTGCAGGGAGAGCACAGAAGACGGGCTGTCACCCGCACCCCGTCCAGCACCAGTGTCCTCCAGGAGTGCGGAGGACACCATGTTCTCGAATGAGGAGCAGCGAGGCTCGTCACCAGCAGGCGTGTCCTAGGAGAACCTGAAGAGGCTCTGTAAACAGAAATGAAGTGGTAGAGGCACGGCACGGAGGCAACACACGGCAGGAAGAAGTAAAAGTACATCTGTGTGTCTTCAGTCAGGCTTGGTGGGGAGATGGCGGCGCTGTGCGTGTGGCCCCGTGGGAGGGGGGGGGGTCGAGGGGCCAGGGCAGTGCGGGTCCTACCGCTCCCTGGACTGGAGCAGGGAGGACACGCAGACTGAGCAGTCACTCACGTGTGTGTGATGACTGCTGGCCCACTGGCACCGATTCATTGCCAACAGGAATCCCCGATTGGGGCCGTGAGGGAGGAAACCTCAGTGTGAGGCAGCCCTGGGCCGGCCTCTCCTGCTCGTCCACTCTGCTCGCTGCACCTCAGCCCGGCTTGCTCCAGTGGGACACCCCTGTTTTAGCTCAGCCGGGGAGACAGGGCAAGTGTGTTCTCTGGCAGTGGGGAGTTGGCTTATGTAGAGGTCCCGCCCCTGGCCCCTGATTGGTCTGCTCTCAGGCAAATGAGGCTCCCAGTCGTCACAGTTTGATTGGTCCAAAAGGCACTGTCTTGATTGGTGGGTGAACTGAGGCTATAGCTGGTGGCTTCTGCTGGAGGGGAAAAGCCACAGTCCTGTTGGTTGGACCAGGCTCCCGGAGCCTTCCTAAGGGCTCCCAGGGCAGGGCCGCAGTGGGCAGGGCCGCAGAGGGCAGGGCCGCAGAGGGCAGGGCCGCAGTGGGCAGGGCCGCAGAGGGCAGGGCCGCAGTGGGCAGGGCCGCAGAGGGCAGGGCCGCAGTGGGCAGGGCCGCAGAGGGCAGGGCCGCAGAGGGCAGGGCTGCAGAGGGCAGGCGGCTCCCTGCAGGGCGTGTGGGTGCGAAATGGCTGCCAGGCTGCTTTTGAACATTGGAGCCCAGTTACCTCCAGGATCCCTGTTCAGTGTCTTCTCTCTCAGGGTCCACACACAGACACGGGAAGAAGTCCTCCCGGGGTCACGCAGCCCGCAGGAAGATGGGGCAGAACAAGACAGGCAGTGTTTTCATGAGAACCGCGAGCTGGGAGAGACCCCGACGGCCTTCCGGGGCGGGTGGTGGAGCCGGGAGGAGCTGCGTGAGGAGAGGCGCCAAGCTGTGGGCACAGTGCCCTGCGTGGCCGAGTCTCCGTGGAGCCCAGAGGCTGCGCCATGGTGTCAGCGCAGCACAGTGAGGGTGCGGCGGGCCTGTGGGTGTGGCGGTTCCCGGCCTCCTGGTGTCCTGTCTGATGGTGACTTTGTACCACACTCTGAGCATCACCACGGAGGCCGGGACCTCTGCACCTTCGCTGCATGTCCGTCCACCACCTCGTCAAGGAAAAAGCTTGAGAAACGGGGTGGGAGGGGCAAGCGAGGAGCCCCTGCTACCCTTTGTCTCCCCTGCTCCTTGTTCCTTCCGGTCGTCTCGACGCTCAGCCCGTGTCCTCTTCTCGGGGACTCCTGTCTGCTTTCCCTCTGTTCCCTCAGTCCTGGGGAAGCTCTGTCTCAGGCCCAGAGACATCTGGGAGCCTTGGGTCGCCCCGCTCTCCGCCCAGCAGACCTGGGGAAGGCGTGGTGGGGGTGGCTGTGGGGTGGGGCCGTGCTGGGATCGGGCGGGGCCTGGTGGGGTGCACTTCTTCGAAATGCTAATCTGGGGTTGGCCCTGGCCATTGGGGGCTTCCCCAAGGCCTCCCTTCGTCAGACAGTCCTGTCACTGCGGACCCGACTGGGCCTCGGTGGGCGGTGTGTCTGTTCCTCAGCAAAGTGCACTAGGAAAGCGCTTATGATTAGACACCTAGTTCCCAGGCACATGGCCGTCAGCACCATGACGTTCTGGTGGCCTTTCAAACCGGTGACGCATTGACCTTCTTTTCCAGCTGATTGCTGAGGAGGGGGTGGACAGCCTCAACGTCAAGGAGCTGCAGGCGGCGTGTCGGGCACGGGGCATGCGGGCCCTGGGCGTCACAGAAGACCGGCTGCGGAGCCAGCTGAAGCAGGTGTGTGGTCGGGCTTTCCCCGTCTGCCTGACCAGCGCAGGTCCTGCGAGAGGCTGGAGGAGATGGCCGTTCCTGACCACCTGTGGGCGGCAGCCGGGCCTCAAGCAGCGTCGCCTTGGCCTTCGGCTCCCGCCTAGCTGCTGGGCGTGGACACTGAGTGTCACCACTCAGTCTGTGGCACCCAGCGGTCACCACTCGTGAGGGACTCTGACTCTTCACAGCAGCTTGTGATGACGTTAACGTCCTTTCTGTCTTCTCCCAGCCCTCTGTGGACAGATGAGAACAAGGCTAACTTCCTTTGAGACTTGGGCGTTCTCACCGAGGCCAGGGCTCAGCACACCCGCCCCCGTGGGGTCAGCCCCGTCCTGGTCCCGGAGCAGGGGAACAAGGCAGCAGGTCCAGGGCGAGCCCGTCCTGGTCCCGGAGGGGGGGGGACAAGGCAGCAGGTCCAGGGCGAGCCCGTCCTGGTCCCGGAGGAGGGGGACAAGGCAGCAGGTCCAGGGCGAGCCCGTCCTGGTCCTGGAGGGGGGGACAAGGCAGCAGGTCCAGGGCGAGCCCGTCCTGGTCCCGGAGGGGGGGACAAGGCAGCAGGTCCAGGGCGAGCCCGTCCTGGTCCCGGAGGGGGGGACAAGGCAGCAGGTCCAGGGCGAGCCTGTCCTGGTCCAGGAAGTGGGGGGACAAGGCAGCAGGTGAGTCTGGGCCTGTGCCTCCCCTTGCAGTGGCTGGAGCTGCACCTGCACCAGGAGGTCCCCACATCGCTGCTCGTCCTGTCCCGGGCCATGTACCTCCCAGACACCCTGTCGCCCGCCGACCAGCTCAAGTCCACGCTGCAGACCCTCCCGGAGACTGTGGTGCGTGTTGCCAAGAGACCTTTCTACCATGCACTCTCTAAGGGGCCCCTGGCTTCTGAGGGCAGGGACCCCGGAGACACCCACCCCTCAGCCATGGGAACTCTCGGGTCCACCCACTCACCCTCCCCTTCTCTCAGGTCTGTTCTTTCTGTGAATAGCAAGGGCTCCTGTGAACATGCTGAGGTGACCCTGGGGGCCTCGTGGTGTTTCCCAGTAGTCGGGGCCCCAGCAGTGGGTCCTGTCTCTTCAGAAGCCTGGGTGTCGACGAGTCAGAGATGGGGCAGGGGTTGTGTGGGCCTCTGGCGCCAGCAGCCCGGGCTCACCCAGGCGCTCTGCAGGCGAAGGAAGCACAGGTGAAGGTGGCAGAGGTGGAGGGCGAGCAGGTGGACAACAAGGCGAAGCTGGAGGCCACGCTGCAGGAGGAAGCCGCCATCCAGCAGGAGCAGCGGGAGAAGGAGCTGCAGAGGCTCTCGGCCGCGGTGAGTGCAGGGGGGGCGGGCCTGGGGCTCTGCAGGTTCATCTCCTGTTTCCCTCCTGGGGTGGTCGGGGGCACAGTGGAGCAGGAATGCCCAGGGGCGCCAGGGGGACAAGAGTCGGCTGGCTCTCTCTCGGTTTGGGTGCTGGTCAGCACAGCCGGGCCAGCTTAGCTCCCAGGCCAGGTGGCAGGTGCTCCGGCTCCCGACACATGTGCCCGTAAGGTGCTCCTGCAAGTCTCAGGGCAGCTCCACGCAGTGGTCAGGAGGGGGTAGAAGACGGAGGTGCTGTGGCCCTTGCAGGGCCTCGGGGGAGCTGGTGAATGCTGTGCACACGCACCTGTCCCCCCAAACCAGCTGTCTGGAGGGCCTGCCTGGACAGCTGGGTGCAAGCCCCCTCTTGGGTGATGGGCTTTCTCAGCCTCGGCCGTCATGGGGTCTGTGCACATCAGTGCCGGTGTGGACTCCTCGGGAAGGCTGCGGGGTGGCGGGTGGCATGAGCCGGCCTGGCCTTCACTGCAGAGGGAAGGCTGCGGGGTGGCGGGGGCACTGAGCCGGCCTGGCCTTCACTGCAGAGGGAAGTGCTGCCCGAAATGGCGGAAGCCGCCCCTGGGGGGCCCGCAGCTGAGCTTCGGACAGAAGTGGCTGGTGTGACCCTGCCGTCAGAGACCCTGAAGGACACCGCCCCCGTCCTGGAAGGCCTGAAGGTAACTAGCACCCACACACATCTAGGAGGGAGCAGCCGCAGATCTGAGCGTTGGTGAGGATGGGTCAGCTCGTAGGCTCCTGGGGACACGGGAAGGGAGGTCGGCCGCAGGTCACAGATGTTCCTGGGGGCCTGGTGTGAGAGCAGCTATTCCTCGGTGCCCAGGCCCTCTGTGCTCTGAGTGGCAGGGCACCCCCACAGAAGGTGAGTCTCCAGGCCCTTGTCAGCCAAGCTGGGCAATGGGAGGGGACGCTGGTGTGGTCCGTCCACAGAGGCTGTCTGTCACCTTCTCTGGTGGCCTGGGCTCCAGCACCATCAGCCTGTGACATGCTGTTCACCTTGAGGGTTGGACTTCTCTCTGCAGCCACCAGACGGCCACGTCCACTCAGCGCTGCAGGCGGAGAGACCAGGGTGGCAGGTTTATGTTTGGGGATTCCAAGCGAGGCCATGAGGGCCACCTGGAGGGAGGGGGTGTGTCTGGAGGAGGGTGTGCTGAGGGGAGTAGATGAGGCCTGAGGATTGACCCTGATGGTCAGCGTAGGGTCATCAGTGGCCTTGGCAGAACGACTGTAGAGCAGAGGAGGAGGAGCATGGGGGCGGAGGTAGGACTCGAGAAGGCCCCGCTGTTGGAGAGAAGGTGCAGGGCTCCCAAACTGGGTCCCTGCTGTCGGGCTGTGACTTGCACATGCTGGGAGGGCCATGGGTAGAGCAGGGCTGGCCAGAGTGTTGTGGGGGTGCTCTGGGACACTGTGGCTGGGGATAGGGCTGGGGGTGCTCTGGGACACTGTGTGGCTGGGGATAGGGCTGGGGGTGGGGGGGGGGGCCACTTCTGGGACAGAGCCCAGGAGGCAGAGGGAGGTGAGTGCGTGGTTACCGGTGTGCTGAGACCAGGAGGAAGGGGTGAGTCCAAGGAGCCTGGCAGAGCTAGGAGGAAGGAGATGCTAGGAGTTTGGCAGAGCTGGGCTTGAAGGGCGACCTGGGAGGGGTTAGGGACCAAGATACAAGGCCATTTTTAAGGGGGTGTGGGGCTGGGGCAGGGCCAGCTGAGCAGAGAGGAGACTGGCTGGGCCCATGGAGGGGGCTGGGAGAAGGGGCAGCTGTGATGGGGCCAGGACGGTCGGCTGTTCTCGTGGACACAGAGCATCCCATTCCCGATGGAGTGAAGATGTAGTTGTCAAAGGACAATGAGGCCCTGGCCGGGTGGCTCAGTTGCTTGGAGAATCATCCTGTCCACCAGAAGGTTGTGGGTTTGATTCCCGCTCAGGGCACATACCTCGTTGCCTTCCCATCGTCTCTAAAATCAATAGACATATCCTCGGGTAAGGTTTCTTTAAAAAAGGTACAGTGAGAGCTTGCAGGAAACCGTAGGAACTAAGGGTTGCCGAAGACTTGTCCGAGGAGCACAGACCTTGGAAGTGACAGGGCGGAGCTGAGGGTCCACTGGGAAGATGCTGTGAAGTGCGGGGACCCAGTGCCCTCCTGTGGCCCCCAGGCTGGGCCTCCTCGGGGCAGAGGAACTGAGGGGCTCGCCCCTCAGGAAGTGCCGGTGGCTGCAAAGCTTTCCACAGAGGATGCCTCGGGCCACCTGGCTTCCCAGGCCCAGGTGCTGGCGAGTCCCCTGTGCGGGACTCTTCCGGGCTGCTGAGTCCTGGTGGGATGTGGGGAGGGCCTCCCAGCCCATTCCGAGAGGGGCGTCACCTGGGGCCAGAACCAGACTCAAGGACACGCAGGAGCACAGAGCGCGAGTTCCCAGCAGACGCCGCCCGGGAGATGCAGCTGTTCTGGGACAAGGGCGCTGCCCCTGACGGGGTTCCAGGGAGGAAAGTCAGCGCGGTTACCGCACTGACAGCCGGGGAGCCTGTGTGGTCCCTCCAGTGCGGCAGGCGAAGCACCGGCAGCCCGGCCTCTGTCCCTGGTAGGGAACGAGGACGTCTCTGGGGATGTGGCTGCGGTGGTGCCGGCGCAGCCTCCACCCTCCCCGCCCTGCTCGTGCACGGAGGTCTGGCCAGCACAGTTGGATAAGGGGAAATAAAATGTGCAGATCGGAAAGGAGGAAGTGAAGCCGCCTGTTCACAGAGGACGTGAGCGTCTGTGGCCAGTGTGTGTCTGCTAGTAGTGAACAGTCAGGAGTCGGACATTTCAAAAGCATGTTTTTTACAATAACATCCAAAAAATGAACTGCTGGGGACCAATTTGAAAATGATAGGAAATACTTGTACACTGGGCCTGTGAGACGCTGCGGGGTGAGTCAGCCATGTGCGGGGCTGGGGAGATGCTCATTCTCCAGCTGCAGGTAGACCTGCAAGATCCCAGCAGGCCTCTCTGTTGACCTTCACAAAGTTACTCTAAAACTTCATGGAAACGCAAAGGATCTAGAGCAGCCAAGACAGCGGATGAGCCAGTCCGGTGTCCGCACTGCGTGGAGCTGCTCAGCATCGAGGGGCATCTCCCAGCCAGGGAGCGAGCAGTCAGCGGGGTTCTGTGTGCAGAGCTCCAGACTGCTCACCAGTCTGGACAAAGGCCGGGGGTGGGAGGGAGGGTCCCCGAGTGGGGAAGCGTTGAGGGTGCTGCTCTCAGGAGTGTTCCCATGACACATCCACGGGGCTCCTGTCGGGAAGAGGCACATGGGGCCTGTGCATGGCTGAGACCCCCACCCGCAGAACGATTCCCCGCATGCAGGTGTCTGCTTTGTCTCCTCCCCAGGAAGAGGAGATAACCAAGGAGGAGATCGACGTCCTCAGCGATGCCTGCTCCAAACTGAAGGAGCAGAAGTCGTCCCTGACGAAGGAGAAGGAGGAGCTGGAGCTGCTGAAGGGGGATGTGCAGGACTACAGCGAGGTGCGGGCGCAGGGGTCTCGGGGCTGCAGGGGGATGTGCAGGACTACAGCGAGGTGCGGGCGCAGGGGTCTCGGGCTGCAGGCTGCAGGGGGATGTGCAGGACTACAGCGAGGTGCGGGCGCAGGGGTCTCGGGCTGCAGGCTGCAGGGGGATGTGCAGGACTAGAGCGAGGTGCGGGCGCAGGGGTCTCGGGCTCAGGGGCGGGGCACATGGGGCGGGGGTGTCTGCAGAGGGGGAGCCGACACCCCCTTGGCCCACCATTGCGGCCCGTCTCCTCCCAGCTGGTAAACTGAGGCCTTGTCTTCATTTCTGATCTTTCTTTCCTAGTAGCTATTGATTTTATTTTTCATTTTATTTTATTTTTTTTATTTCTCACCTGAGAATATGTTTCCATTGAATTTTCAGACAGAATGGGAGGGAGGGTGGGACCTGAGACAGACATATTGACTGTCTGCCTCCCACACAACCTGACCAGAGCCGGGGACCAAACTGCAGCCGAGGTCTGTGCCCCTGACCAGAATCGAACCCGCAACTCTTTGGTCCGCAGGCTGACACTAACTGCTGAGCCATACTGGCCAGGGTGTTATTGATTACTCTCATAAGGAAAACATGTCTTTTTTATTTGTTAGTATTATTTTCTACTCTGACCCAAAACACTGTGTTTTCACAGCTCTGTTGGGAAAAGACTAATTTTGAGATTGGTAAAGGTGATTTGCCATTTTTTGAACTTTCTCCTGGCAGCCTTCTTACTCTTGGGTCTCATCAGAAATGGGGTTCATCATAAACGGCCTTTTCCTCGCCCCGCCTGCCCCCGTGCTCCTCTGCATCTTTGCTCCAGGGGGACGCTGGCGTGGAATCTAAGAGGATACTTACCATCCCTTGATTCCTGTATCGATGTATTTAGTCTTCGCGCAGACATGGAGGGAGTCGAGGTTCAAAGCAGACTCCATTTTCTTTGCTAGTGAGCAAGATCCGAGCTTGGGGACACCAGCGCAGCCCTGCTGGGTGCAGGCCCGCCGTGGGGCCAGGCTTTCTGCTCCGCCGGCTGCAGCTCATCACCCTGCTGCCAGTCGGGGTGGATCACAGGGTGGACTTTGCTGTGAGTTTTTTAAGACAACCTTCTAACAACAAAATGATCTCATTAGGACTTGCAAGAGATCAAGAAGGAGCTTTCAAAGACCGGCAAAGAGACGGAGGTGGAGGAGTCCAAAGCCAGCAAGAGGCTGACCAAGAGGGTGCAGCAGATGATCGGGCAGATTGACCAGCTGCTCGCACAGCTGGAGGCGGACCAGCAGGCTGGCAAGCTGGGCCCGGCTGCCCCGGGCTTGCCCACAGGGTGAGTGGGGGTGTGGACGTGGGGGGCTCAGTGCTGTGGACTCCAGCTCATTTGCAGCCTCGGTGCCCAGCTGCCCCTGCCCTTCTAGCCAGAACCCCAGCCTCACTTGTCGGCCCCCTTCTCCATGGGTTTCCCTGGCAGCTCTCTGTCCTCTCCCTGTGCGCCCCCCCTGCACCGCTGGCCACTTGTCTCTGGGTCCCCTGCAGCCCACCCTCCAGGCTGCTGGCCGGCCCGCAGCGCACCGCTCCCTGCAAGCATAGCTCTTCCCACGCCGCCTCCACCCGCAGCCGCAGCCGCAGCCCCTTCGGCTCCACGGCGCTCGGCGACGCCCCAGCAGGCACCGGGACCGCCTCTGGCTGGTGTCCAGAAGTAGACTGTCCCACCGGGTGGGCCCTCTGGGGACGTGGGCTCCCAGCTGCACTTGGGTGATTCAGGAGGCTGGCGCACCACCAGCAGGTCTCGTTTGGAAGCTTGTATGTGGACATCAGCCTGGTTTTAAGTTGAGAGCTAGGCTCACAAGTTCAGTTACCATGATTCATAAAGTAACTTTTTATGTTTCAAATGTTACATTTTCAGTTTTAAAAAAAAGCACATGGCAAAGCACACACCACTCCAGCTGAGGAACCCCCCTGCCTCATTTCCCAAACAGAAGCCCCCCCCTCACCTGTAGCCTGTCCCCTCCACCCCTGCCTGGCCCAGCCCCCACCTCAGGTTGACTCAGAAGTGGCTCCCGCCCTGCACACCCCAGTGAGCAGACCAGCTGGCCCAGCTCCTGGCCTGCTCCCCATCTGGAGCGGCGTGCACTCGCACCCCTCCTCCCTGTCCCCTTCCCAGGCCTGATGCACACTGGGGGCGCTCTGAAGGCTTCCGTCCCAGCCTGAGGACACCAGGGTTCTGTCCCCCCTCCCCCCTGCAGCAGGGATGTGGTCCATGGGCCACTCCCTCCTTCTGGACGCCCTTTAGTTTTGTGTTTTCCCGACAACCAGCTGTGTGGCCTACAGCTCAACTCTGATACTGCCTGGAGTCAGTCAGACCCACAGGCCAAGGCTCAGGCCCACGGCTGCTCTGTGCTGTCCTGTTCTCAGGTTGGAGGCCCTTCACCCCCCAGACCAGGTCAGCGTCCCCTTCTGGGCCGACCGGCTCTGCTGTGTGGTCCCACTAGTCCTCACCGGTCAGAAGGCAGGTCCCTGCACCCCTCTGGACCCTCACAGACAGGCCTGAGGAACACTAACAGGACCTGGGCCAAGGGCTGGTTTCTCTGTCTCCACGGCTGGGCACCCCCAGGAAGGGTGGGCTGACCTGGGAGCTCGGGCTGTGGGCGTGGCCCTGTCACATGCAGCTGCCCCCCCCCCCCCCAGGGACACTGTCATCAGCGTCACTGAGCTTGTCAGTGCCATGAAGCAAATCAAGGACATTCCGGAAAACAAGCTCATCAGCCTTGTCTCGGCGCTGGACGAGAACAAGGATGGCAAGGTCAACATCAACGACCTCGTCAAGGTGGGTGTGGGCTCCCGCCCAGCTACTGGCCGGGTGTCCTGTGGGCAGTCCTAGGAGCCAGGCATGGGGGGCCTCCGGAGGCCTGGGAGGTGACCCTGATGAGGCACCCCTGGTCCCTGGTGCCGAGAGCTTGGGCGCCCAGGAGGCTTGGAGTGGGAGCCCCGTCGTGAGGAAGTAGGAGCCCCGTCAGGGAGGGCGCTGGTCTGCGGCAGGTGCTTTCACAGGTGGCTCTGGTGGCTGACGTCCAGCTGGAGCCGAGGCTTTAGCAGGGGCCCGGTGGGAGCTGCAGAGGCCGGGAGGGCCGCGTCCATACCACCTGCCCCTCCCTGGGGCCCTCTTCAGGGTGGACAGCAGCTCGATGTCCATGCCCTGCACACCCCGCACTCTGCCCAGGGAACCCCTGCCCGGGGCAGACCCAGCCTGACGCGGACAGGTCCCTGCACCTTGGGCCCCGGGAGCACCGTCCCCCTGGTGGTTTGTAACCTGGCCTGGAGCTTTGGAGCTGGTTAGCCCCTGGGGTGGGGTCTGGTGCCCTGAGGACCACGGCAGTGGAGGACCCGGGCCCTGGTGAGAGGGGTGATATTCGCTCACGTGCTGGCGGCCACCTCAGCCTGGTGGTCGAGGACACAGACCCCTGAGTCCCTGTCCTCCCCTGTGTGTAGGTGATCGAGCTGGTGGACAAAGAGGATATTCACATCTCCACCAGCCAGGTGGCCGAGATTGTGGCGACACTAGAGAAGGAGGAGAAGGTGGAGGAGAAGGAGAAGGCCAAGGAGAAGGCAGAGAAGGAGGCTGCCGAGGTGAAGGGGTAGCTGCCCACCACCTGCCCTCCATGCTTCAAGGTGATTCTATTAGTGACACGTCTAATATTTTGTCTGGAATAAATCAGAAACTTCCATCATCAAGTAATTTTTAATTTTCATCATTCCATGAAGAGTCGGTCAGTCTGGACTCCCCGAGTGCCCCGGGGAAGCGTGTCCGCGTTCCTGCCGTGGCCTGGCTCAGAGGTGGTTTGGGCCTGCGCCTGGTGGTGTCTGTCCGGGAGGAGAGGCCCAGCTCAGAAGACACTGGTCTGAAGACTGGACGCCCGAATGTCTGTGTCACATTTCCGTCTGACTGCTGAGATGACACCCTGGTCCCTCCGTGGCCTCTGCAGAACCCCACTCGGGCAGCGACTTTGGTGTCTTGGGGGGTCTCCTGTCTGTGTATCAGCTCTTTCTTGATGTACCTTTGACTTTCACATAATCCTTAACCAGTTAACGGCCGTCTGCCTGCCTCAGGCGCTGTCTGAGCAGAGTGGCGAGGCGCACTAAAGAAGCGTTGACGTTTGCCGTTTGTTGTGCTGTCGTGGCTTTCAGAGCGTTTCCTTGCTGGGGTTGCGAGCACTTCGCTGCCCCTCTGGATGGTCGGAGCAGGTTCCCCTGCACCCGTCCAGTGGTGGGCCTGGCCCCGGGGCCACCAGGCCTCACCTGTCGCCGCTCCACAGCCCTGGGGCCTCCAGGCGCCCTCTGGTCCCATTCCCTGACCCAGCTCCTTCAGAAGGAGCAGGCAGGTGACCACTCCAGGTCCTGTGCTGGGGCCCTGGGGGCTGCAGAAAGGCTCGGTGCAGCCCTGGCATCCAGCGGTCTCAACACCCAGCCCTCGGGCAGAGTGGCTTCAGGGGGCAAGCCAGGTGTACGCGGCCTCAGCTCTGTGACCTGCCTTCTAGGGCAGCGCTGTTCTTTCCGGGAATCCGAACACGGGCACGGAAGACAGGAGTGGCGTGGCCAGATTAGCCTGGAGAGGAGGAGGAGGACTCAGAAATGATAGCTTCCGAGTGACTTGGAACGTTTTACTCAGCCACTGAAGAAGAGCCGCGCTACAGATAGGAATAAGGTTCTGTGTCCTCAGACATAAACCTCGGTGCAGCAGCAGCAGCTGGGCTCTAAAGTTTTTTCTTTTTGGTTTTAATTCTCACCCAAGGATATTTTTTCAAATATCTTCAGTTAGAATAGGAGGGGGCTGGGGATGAACCACAACTGAGGTACATCCCCTTGGCCAGAATCGAACCAGGGACTCCTTGGTCCACAGGCTGATGCTATAACTGCTGAGCAAACAGGCCAGGGTGGGCTCTCGGGTCTTCATCTCACTGAACCGAATGTTCTGGGTGCTTCCTTAGTGTGTGAGTTGTCTCGTATTCCTGTGGCCCGGTTTCCAGCTGCAAAGCGTGCTTGCCCGTGAGCTCAGCCAATGCGCCCTCGGATGGTGGCCGTCTCGCTGGGGAGCAGTGCTCTGGGGTCCCGTCAGCTGTGCCTCATCCCGCTGCCTTCCAGGCGCCCTCGGCATCCCTCTGCCGTCCTGCTCTGAAACTGCCCTGGGCTGTCTGCAGCTCGAAGAGGAACCAGCCACCTGCCCCCAGTGCTGCCCACAGGGGCTTGGTGCGTGCACGGGGCGTGGTCTGCTGCGCTGTGTTTGCCTTAACTGTCCTGGTCTTTCTTTTTTCTTTTCCATCCTCACCAGGGGGACATTTTTACATTTATCATCAGATAGAATGGGAGGGAGGGAGGGAGGGCGGGCCGGCAGAGATGGGGAGAGAAACAACAACGTGAGAGACACATCGACGGGATGCCTCCCGCATGACTCAACCAGGGCCAGGGACGAACTGCACCGAGGGCCATGCTCTTGACAGGAATTGAACCCGTGACTCTTTGGCCTGCGGGCTGACGCTCTAACCACTGAGCAAAACTGGCCAGGCCCTGAACATTCTGTCTTTTTTTTTCCTTTATTGATTTTAGAGAGAGAGGAAGGGAGAGGGAGAGAGAGAAAAACATCCATCAGCTGCCTCCTGCATGCCCCCCACTGGGGATCAGGCCCACAACCTGGACATGTGCCCTGACCGGGAATTGAACTGGTGACCTCTTGGTGCAGGGTCGACGCTTAACCAGTAAGCCACACCAGCCGGGTAGCCTGAACGTTCTTTACTGCAGCTGATACATGTCCAGGTGCAGGAGTAGCAATGGTGGATGTAGAAATGAGTCTCACGTGACCAGGTGTTAAGCGGCACCCAGCCTTCCTCGCTGTTGGAGTGTCCTGTCTGCGCCTGCACCTGCGCCTGCTTCAGATTGCAGCGGGAACTCTTAGCCGTGTGCCTGTCATCCACAGGCCCACAATCTGGCAGGCTCAGAAACCAGCATGGGGCTTCGCAGTCACCTTGAAGTGCCGCAGTCCGGAGGCTAAAACACAGGCCTGTCACAAAGAGCCCGCGGTGCCCCGGGTTCACACGTGCAAGCACCTTTCTCAGAAATGATGTTTTACAAGTTAATCAATGTTCCTACGACAGCTCTGAGTCAGACGTCCAGGTGGAAAACGTCCATCTGCCTGTGACAGCTGTGTGGCCCAGGGTCTGGCTCTGCCTCACCCCCAAAGAGGTTGGCGAGTGGGTCATGGCTTTGGATGACTCTGGGACCCTCACTTCTAGGGCGCAAGCCTGGCCTCGGGTGTCCCCTTGTTCTGTGACGGTGTGTTCCGCCCATCCCCCATCACACTGGGTGCCCAGGCTGATCCCTGTGCTGGTGACCAGACACCCAATCGGATGTAAGGACAGGGTTGAATAAAGCATCATCTTGGTGACCTGTCGCCATGTGATGATTGATTTGTCCAGGTTGGTGACCCTCAGCAGATGCCTCGGGCCTGGGTGGGGGTCACCCAGGAAGCACAGTTCTGTTCTGGAAGGCTGAGGCCCCTGGGCACAGGGACAGTGTGACCAAGGGTGTGGCCCCCTCTGCCTGGGTGGGGCCTGGAGGAGGTGGGGCCTGTCCTACCACGGCCTGCTCCCAGGAGCCTGAGGAGTTGTGAGCAGGGCCCTTCCCCCAGGTGGAGAACTGAAGCCTGGTGGGAGGGCCACCCAGCAGAGGGTTCCAGCAGCAGGCAGCTCAGGCGCAAAGCGGTCTCCCCCACTCTCCAGCCCCCCAGTCCTTCAGTGGATAGGACCCCCCACTCCAGGATGCCCAGCCTGTCTGAGGGGACCAAGCAGGCTGCTTCCACCCTCGCCGAGTCCCCGCACCCTGCCTGGCCCCTAACCAGAGGTGCCCACTGTCTGCATTGGGGTGCCCCAGCAGGCACCCAGACCCTTCATGCTGTGGACCGTGTGTTCACTGGGCCTGCCATCCGGCCAGGGCCGGGGAGGCAGTGGCCATGGGCCGGCGTGTGTGAGCCTGTAGGCAGGTAGGGACCCGAGCCGGACTGCAGCCGGCGCCCCAGGACGAGGTCTGGGCTGGAACCCGTTTCTCCACTGGGGCCACATGAGGCACAGGGCCGGGCAGGCTGACCCTGGGCGGGCAGGGATTGACTGCTGAGATGGGGCAGTGGCCCGGGGGCACCGTAGTCTGCTGTGAAAACAAGTTATTAACAGGAGTTCGGTTCCCCCGTGTCTTCTCGGGAGGAAATCGGTTCACGGGGCATTCCAGCTACAGTCTGCAGGATGCGGGGCCCGCCCATCCCACCGGCAGCCAGGTGCGAGGGCCAGGGCCTCGCGCGGACGCTGCCCTCCCCTGCACAGGAGCCACCGGCCGGACCAGGCCTGCAGGACAGGGCTGTCCCCCTCCGAGCCGCCGGCAGAGGGGGAAGGGCAGGGGCTGCCCCAGGCAGACGTGAGGACCCGGTGCGTCCGGTTTAAAACACCCTCCGCCGCGGTGGGCGACGGGTCAGGCACGTGGGTGCCTCCTGGAGGCCCGGGCAGCCGCATCCCGGCGCGTTCGCCCACCCACCCGCGCGGGACAGGGCTCAGCCCAGTGGGGTGGGCGGTGGAAGTCACGGGCTGGGAACCAGGTTCCGAAGGCCGGAGCCAGAGAGCCGCCTGGGTTCGGGAGCGGGACGGGGACCGGGAAGGGCGGCGGGAAGGTGGAGCTGGGCAGGTGGGGGCGGGGCCTGGCCCGTGACGGGTGGAGCTGAGCAGGTGCGAACTGGGGAGGCTTGGAGGGCAGCGATCTGTGCCCCGTCCGGCGCCCCAGGCGGCCACCCCGACCCCACCCCGCAGGCGGCACGGCCCGGTGTCCCGAGCGTGCACCCAGCCCCGCGGGCCCGGCGCAGAGGGCACAGGGCGCGGCGAGGAGGACGCGGCCCGGCCGACGCTAGAGGGCGCCCCCGGCCCGCGCTCGGCCGCCGCGGACTCGGGCCTGGGGGGCGGGGCGCCTTCGGGCGTCGTGGCCGCGTGTCCCCGGGCGCGCGGGACACAAACACCGGGTCTCTGCGGCCTGAGGCGTTGAGGGTGGGGAGCTTGGGGCCCAGTGCCAGAGCCCTTACTTGAGTGGGGTCAAGGTATTGGGCACACCTCTTACCTGGAACTAAGACAGGTGAAACGTTCACACAACCCAGTGGCACCCTCCCCAATATGTCCCTCAAGGTGCGCGGTGGCCCTGGTCGTGTGGTTCAGTGGTTAGAGTGTGGCTGAGGCACCAAAGGGCCTCAGGTTCAATTCCCCGTCAGGGCACGTACCTGGGTTGCAGGTTCGATTCCCAACCCCGGTCAGGGTGCGTGCGGGAGACAGCCCATGGATGTGTCTCTCATATCGCTGTTCCTCCCTCACTCCCACTCTCCAAAAAAAAAAAAATCAATGAAAAAAATGTCTTCCGGTGAGGATTAACAACAAAAAGATCTGGAGATGGGAGGAGGGACAGGAAGGAACTGGTGACAGGGTAAGGACGAGGCTGGGACGGCCAGCCAGCCCTGGGTAGTACTAGGTTCCAGGGCCTGTGGGAGTCTGCATGGTACCTGTTCCCAAATCCACCCTAGTCTTCCCGCTTGATCTGAGCACTGCTGCCTCCTCCAGGAAGCCTTCCCAGACTTACTCCCCATCACTGCCACATGGGTGCTGTGCTGTGTCCTCTCCTGCCCAAAGTCACAGTTATGGGGGAGTACAGGAGCCCAGATGGAACCCAAGGGGAGGACACCAGCTCTGGTGGCGGGAGGGGGACGGAGGGAGCAGGACGCCGGCCAGGAGCAGGAGCGTGGCCACTAGTGCAGACAGTAGTCTCCAGGAGCCTGGTTGGCTCCTTGGGGGCCCCACCTAGAAACCTCCCCCTGCCCAGCTGACAGGGTAGGCAGATGTGTGGGGTGAAGAGGGGGGGACCTCAGAACCAGATGTCTGCACATAAACCCGGAACCCCCCTGGATTCCATGAGCTGGGACAGCTGGGGTCTTAGCAGGCCCACTGTTCCTCGTCACTCAGCCCACCCCAATGGTGGTCTCACTGCCCGCTCCCTTGGACACCAGGCTGCCTGCATTTCCTGCCATTGGTGACACTGAGGTTCTGCCCTGCCTGTTAGGTCCCATGAAGCTGGACACACCGGACCGCCCTCACCCTGGCTTTGCCCAGTATCCTGTTCGAGCCAGAGGCCTGTGCCGGAAACTTGGGAAGTGCCAGGTCTGCGGGTCACCCCTCCCTCTCAGGGCGGGCAGACGACAACCTGTCCCAGGTGGGCAGCGAGGACGGAAAGATGCTCGGACCGGCAGAAGGGCCGGAGACAAGGAGGCTTGAAGCAGGCTCTGAACTGAATCTTTGTTTATTTTTGGAAAAGCACATCTGCCAGTTGGGGGCAACACCTTTAGCCCCCAACAAGGTTGGGGGCCAAGTACCAACCACCCCGAGCCCCTGCCAGGCCCACCCGCTGACAAGCAGAGGACACAGCCCCCCGAACTCAGGGCGTGAACAGTATGAAAAGTAACGAAACTGAACTCGCGGCGCTCTCTCCCAAGCTTTGAAAGGTAGCAGTCCAGGCTAGTAAAGTCTAGAAGCATTGCGTAAGAAGTGTTAAATCTACAGCAAATACATCTTGTAAAAACTCAATAAATTATATATATAGATATATATAAACTTGTAACATCTAATAACATCTGAACCTGTGCAGGGCTGGCCCCCCCGGACACTGCCTCCCCACCCGGCACATGGCAATTAGAACTTGTATGAAAATACCAGCTTGCTTTGAAGTCCAAAAAAATAAATCTAAAGAAAAATCCTATAATAATCAAATTCCCCTGCAAAAGAAGGCCAAAGAAGAGACGGTCCTTACTGGTGTCCCCTCACTCTATTAATGACCCTCTGGTTGTGAGGGGTGCTCCGGCCTAGGGTGCCCAGTGCCAGGGCACACCCTCAGCAACCCTCTAAACGAAGCATAAACCTTCTCAGCCGTTAATAAGTTAAGACTGAAGCCGTACCCGTGTGGCCGGCTCAACGCTACAGCTCTGGGGTGGGGAGGCAGGGACGGGGGCCTGGGGCCCATAAATAGCTTCACAAATATACAGGTCCAGGCGCAATTTTTAAAACAAAACTGTGGAGCCGGGAAAGCCTCTCCATTCTCTGGCAGTTTCTGCATTTGTCTCCCCTACAGGGGGCCTCCCACCCCAGGCCCCCCAGGGTCCCAGCCTTTCTTCTTCCATATAGATATTTATATATGTTATATGTAGGTGTATATCTCTCACACAGCATCTATTTATATAAAAGCACACTCATCTCTGGAATAAACCTTTCGGATAGAAGTTAAAGGCTCCCTCCTTCAGGTACCCGTAATTTCAGTCTCTGAGGGACAGGGCGGGAGGTGGGGAGGCCTGGGGGGTGGGGCCCAGGTGCAAGGTGCCACTTGGGTGGGAGGGAGGCCACAAGGGGGCTTCCCTGCAGGCTCAGCTCGGGCACTTGGGGGCGCCAGAGCCAGTAGCTGTGCCGCTAGGGTGACAGTGAGGGACAGGGAGCCTGGGGGTGCCCCACAGAAGGACCCCCTTACATTCTACATTCAGTCCCCCTGGTGCTGCTGGCACAGGTGCCCAGGAGGTCATTGTACAGCAGGGCGGGCACCCCGGGGACCCCTGCACCGGGGACCCGGAGACACACAACACACACACACACATGCACGCACACGCACACACGCATACACAGATGCAAAGTTCTCTGTCCATCCGTCCACCGTGCCAGATTTCGGGCCTGGGCTCCGGGGCCCGAGTGGTCGATGGCACACCCAGAGCAGCGTGGTGGGCAGGAGCCCAGCCTCACGTGGTGGGGGCTCGGCCTGAAGGCTGGGGGCCTTCACGTCTGGGGGCCCCCGCTGCTGGGTGGGGCCGGGGGCAGCAGGTCGTGGGCAAACACGGAGTCGTCCCCTGAGGAGCTGGAGCTGGGGGTGTCCTGGCCTCCCGGCGAGTACTGTTCGAAGGGCACTGACAGATCCAGGTACTCCTGCAGGTGGGCAGAGGTCAGTGCTGTGCCCGCTGCGTGGCCCCTGCACACCCTCCCCGGGGCCCAGCCCGCAGCAGAGGGAGTGGGCCTAACTCACGTCGGTGGACGTCACTGTGAGGACGCGGTCCAGGTCCTCCACCAGCTGCTTGAAGGTGGGCCTCTGTGAGGGCACGGCGTGCCAACACTCCCGCATGATCATGTACCTGGGGGACGCTCGGTGAGGCGCCTGCCCAGGGCCCCCACGCCCAGCCCGCCAGTGTCCCCGGGGCAGTGAGTCGGGCCCACAGGAGCCGAGGGCCCGTGGGCATCACCATCATGGACACACACCGGGAGGGTGGCCAGGGTCATGCACTCACAGGTCGTGTGTGCAATTGGCCGGCTTGTCCATGCGGTGACCTTCCTTCAGTAGCTTGAAAAGCTCCTCCACAGGGATGCCGGGGTACGGCGAGCCCCCCAGTGTGAAGATCTCCCAGAGCAGGACCCCAAAGGACCAGCTGGTGGGGGGGGGACAGCACTATTAGCCTCCTGCCTGTCCCACAACAGACCCCACCTGATGCAAACACGCTGGGTCGGGCGAAGGGAGAGGCGTAAGGCCTGAGACACTGTGGGGCTCCAGTTAGGGGCCCAGCTCCACCCCAGAGCACCCATGGCCCTGCCTGGGCCCTCGCAGCTCCCCACCCCCCTGAAGTCCGGGTGGCCACATACACATCGCTCTGATGGGTGTAGACGCGGTCAAACAAGGCCTCGGGCGCCATCCACTTCACAGGCAGCCGGCCCTGGAAGAGAAAGCAGGCGATTGGCTGCCAGGGCCCTCCAGGTGGACGCCCGGCCCCGCCCCCGGCCGCGCCCCCGGCCAGGCCTGGCTCACGTTGGTGGTCTTCTTGTAGTAGTCCAGGTTGTGCACATCCCGGGCCAGGCCGAAGTCCGCGATCTTCATCACGCTGTCCTCGGTCACCAGCACGTTGCGCGCCGCCAGGTCGCGGTGGATGCACTGGGGGCGGGGCCAGGGCTGAGCCACCCGCCAGCCATCCCGCTGGGGCCCTGCGCCCCGCACCTGCCCCCCGCGCCCTGGCCAGCCAGGGACCCCTCCTCCACCCACTCACCTTCTGCGAGGCCAGGTACTCCATGCCCCGCGCCACCTGGTAGGCGCAGGACACCAGGTCCTTGAAGGTAAGCTGCTCCTCGGGCAGCTTGCAGGTGTCGAAGGAGTAGTCCGTGCCCGGGGGCCGCCGGGCCCTCAGGTACTCCCGCAGGTTGCCCTTGGCCGCGTATTCCACCAGCACGTACAGGGGCCCTGTGCACACAGCTGGCTCAGGGGGCGCCCCCACCGCCGCCCGCTGCCCCCAGCGCCCCCCGCCGTGGCACTCACCACCCTGCGTGCAGGCGCCCAGCAGGTTGATGATGTTCTTATGCTTCCCGATCATCTTCATCATCTCCATCTCTGACACCAGGTCGGACAGGTCCTTGTCCGTGGCGTCATCTGCAGGGGGACAGAGGGCGCGTCAGAGAGGGCAGCCCCCTGCAGCCCGGCCCAGGCTCCCTGCCACCTGCCTCCCTCACCTTTCAGCATCTTCACAGCCACGGTGACAGGCTTGGTGGCCCGATCCTTGTCGATGCCGATGGCCTCTGCCATGACCACCTGGCCAAAGCAGCCCTCCCCGAGAGGCTTGCCAAGGGTGAGCCTGGTGGCGGAAGCAGAGGCAGTAAGGGCTCCAGCGCTCCCAACGCTCACAGCCCTGCCCCAGGCAGCCGTAGGGGGCCAGCACCGCCGCCTCCAGGAAGCCCTCCACACCTGACCCCAAGACCCTGCCCATAAGCATGAAGTACATTGCCCCTCTGGCCCTCTGCCATACTCTCTAGACAGAGCACTTAAAGAGGGTGGGGTCCTCACCCACTGCCCCTACCTTAGGAGCATTTTTCTGAGGTCCAGCCTCCTCCACCAGCCTCACACCCAGCGGTCACCTTGATTCCTACCTAATTCCCATCTGAATCCAATCAGGGCTCAGACTGGTGGCTCCCCACCCCAGGACCCACCCTGTCTCCCCAGCTCAGGGCCCCAACGCACAGGACCCCATCACCACCACTGACCGGGCCCGGGGCAGCTCCCACTTGGGGTCGGCGGGCAGCTCCAGCTCCGAGACGTTGGCCAGCGCGGGGCCCTCCCCTGAGGACAGCCGGGCGATTCTCACCAGAGGCGTGTTGGAGTTCATGGACGAGTTGGACTCCAAGGACACCTGCTTGGGTCGGCAGGGGCAGGTTGGTGCCACCAGGCTACACAACAGGGGTGTGGGTGCCGTCCCAGGGGGGCCCGCCCTTGGCAGAGACCACCGGTGTCCCCGAGCCCGGAAGCCCAGCAGAGGACGTCAGGGGTCAGGTAACCTGGGGCCAGTGGACAGGCAGCTTGGAACCTGGTATCTACTTTCTGTTACCTGTCGCTTGAGCGGGAAGCGGGAGACCTTGTGCACCGTGGGTGCCAGGCCCTTCTTGGGGGCACTGCGCAGGCGGCAGAGCGTCACGGCGGCCACCACCAGGATGAAGAGCAGGAAGCCCGCCCCGTAACTGAGGACTCCTGCGTACACGCTGCCCGCCTCGCCGGCCTCCAGCAGCTCCTCCTCGGCTGCAAAGACAAGGCATTGGGGCCTGGCCCAGCCGCACTGCAGCCCCACGGGCCCAAGGCCACCAGGGCCACAGGTGCAATGAGGGTAGAGACGGGTGCTCAGCCCCTGGGGAAGGAGCTGAGGCCCAACGCCCTGCACGGTGAGGATCTTGTGCTCAGAAACACCCACAGAAGGATCCCAAGCGAAGGCGGCAGCACCCACACCTGCCACCCAGGGAGACGCCAAAGCTGCCACGGAGGCTCTTGGGGGACCAGCTGGGAGTGGGGGGCTAGACGGAGGCCGCTGTGAGACAGGACAGGGCCAGATTGACTTTTATCCCACCTCAGGCACAGGGCCTGGCACGAAACAGGGCGGACAGGAGCCCGAGGGCACCTCACCAGTCCCTGGCGGCTTTGGCGAGCCCCAAGCCATGGAGCCCGAGGACAGGTGCAGAGCGAGCAGCAGGAGCCAGTACCTGGCAGCACCACCAGCCACGCAGAGTGATGGGAAAACCCGATAGAATTGCCCGCCAGACAGGTGTACTCCCCCGCGTCCTCAAAGGTGACATTGTGCAAGGACAGAACCTCTAGCTCCTTGTCGGTGGTGTTAGCGCCCGCCGTCTACAAAGAGAGAACAGAGCGCGATAGGAGAGGCCAGCACCCCACGGACACGAGAGCCCGGTCCACAAGGCGACGATCCACCCAGGCTGCAAAGAAAACGCCGCCACCACCACGGCCACGGCCACGGCCACGGCGGCCAAGGGTCCTCCGCCTCGTGCGTCCACACCGAGCCTGAAGCCAGTCCCTTCACCGGCGAGTCCTCTGTCCCAGGTGAGCGCCAGGCGTGTGGCCAGCTGTACGGCCAGCAGTGTGCAGAGTTAGCGCAGACACTGGGGGCTGGGGCAGACAGGCAGGCAAATGGACAGACAGACAGACAGACAGACCAATGGGAAGTGAGTAGACAATGGAGCGGGGGCCAGAGACACAGGAGGAAAGCAGATGCCCACAGACACACGGCCTTCTGGGGGTGGCATGGGCACAGGCAGGGTCAGCAGGCCACGGGGCTCCAGGCAGGCAGTCACAGGAGGCCAGAGGCACCAGCCTTGCAGACGTGACCGCGTGTGCAGAGAGCGAGCAGCAGGGTGGGGAGCGAGCAGGACGGGGCGAGCAGTGGGCGCAAGGCCAGGGCGGCGGAGCTGCAGGTCGGCGTGCCAGGCAGGCGTGGGACAGAGTTGTTACCTGCTTGGGGCCCGTGAACACGCAGCCAAAAGGCCTTCTCAGACACGCCTATGAAATTGGAGGCTCGACAGAGGTACTCGCCCCCGTCGCGCTCGGACACATTGGCCAGGTGGAGGCGAGCGTCAGCCTCCACACTTTCACTGATCCAGGACTGCGGGGACAAGAGACCCTGCTCAGGGGTGCCCGTGGCAGCAGAGGGGCACGGAGTGGCTGTGCAGGAGTGGTCCAGGTCCAGACCCTGCCAGGAGGGCAGCCCCAGACCCTGAGGCTCCAAGGCAGGAAGTGGGAGACCCCCAAGGGGCTGTGCCAGCCAGGAAGGCTGCCTGGAGGAGGCATCTCGGCACCTCATGGCAGTAATTGTGGTTTCCCAGGATACACCTTCTCTGCATCCACTTTTCCCAGCACACAGCAGGGACCTGGCAGGCACCCCACAGGCCCTCCAGGCTGGTGCTCTGCCCACCCCTGGAGCTCAGGCTGGGCCTGTTGTGACGCCACGGACAGCGCACGGGCTGACCAGGGTGCAGACACCACCCTTCAGGCCCAGGCGGCCTCCCCAGCTGTGTCCGGATCCTGCCCTCAGCCTGAGCCCCTGCTCCCCACCCCCAGTGGCCTGTGCCTGTCTCTAAACAGATGTTTCTCTTTGGGCTGCAAGTGTCGCAACCGCCCGACTCGGGTGGCCCCCACCCTGGGGCCATGGGAACAAAGCTGAGGCTGTCCTGCCCCAAGGCCCAGAGAGGCAGGCTGGGTGGCCAGCTACACAGACCACGCCCAACCCCCTCCCAACCCATAGCCCAAGGACCACTGCCCAGCCTCCCAGACCCAGAGGCTGCTGGGTGCACTCAGCTGCCACCTGCTGGCAGGGGCTCTAGAGTGAATCCACCCCAGGGGGCCATCTGCAAGCCTGTCTCCAGGGCTCAGTAAGCCCTGAGAGCAGAGGGAAACTGAAGACTCATTGGAGGGCGAGCTGGGACTCGGCCCCTACCTCCTGGGCAGGGCAGTGCCCAGCAGAGACCCCCAGCCTGGAATACCCAGCCATCCCTGCTCCCGCCAGCCCAGGGCGGTGCCCACCTTGAGCACGGTGACGTAGGGCGTGCCGTCGGGCCCCACCTTGCTGCCGTTGACCTCCACGTGCTTGAGCCACTGGATGTGGGGCTGCGCGTCGCTGTACACCTTACAGTGGAACTCCACGTCGCTGCCCAGCACGGCCGTCTGGTTGGCCGGCAGCCCGGCCTGCAGGATGGGCCGGTGCGGAGAGCGCTCTGAAGGCAGACAGGGGCTTAGGGGCTGCCCGGCTCTGGCTCCCACTGCCCACCTGGCAGCCCCGGGCCTCACCCAGCACGTCCAGGGTGTAGGTCTGCCGGATGCGGCCGAACTTGTTCTGCACGACGCAGGTGTAGTTGCCACGGTCCGAGGGCACCACGCTCTCCATGACCAGGCTCCACTGTTGGTGGCGCAGCTGTGGGCAGACATGCAGATCAGCGGGCGGCCGGCAGCAGGTGTGGCCTCACCATAGCCCAGAGGCCCAGTCCACCTTGATGCCCCCGATGCGGTGCTCGCCCCGGAACTCCTTGCCGTTCTTCAGCCAGGAGATGGACGGGGTGGGGTTGCCGGCGGCCGGGCAGCGGAAGCGCACGGTGTTGGCAGCTGGCACAGCTAGCAGCTTTTTCTCCATCCGCTCAGGCCGTGTCCAGTAAGGGGCCCCTGCTGGCAAGGGGCACGTGTAGGCCATCACCAGTGTGGGGGACCAGGCCCACTGTCCATCCCTCTGCAGGGAGTCGCTGGCCTTTGAAAACCCCTGCTCGGGCTGGGTGAGGCTCCAGGAGACTCAACACCACCGCCCGGCAACCTCAGAGCCAGGCCACATGTCCCCTCTACTTCCTGTCCACTTCCCCCAGGGTGCCACCCACTGGCCCCACAGCCTTCAGAACAGAAGGTGTCTCCTAGGGGGCACCCACCCACCCAGCAGCCCAGGTCAGGAAGCTCAGCGGATGGACAAGCAGGGCCCAGCCTCGGGCAGTTACCAGGAGGCCGGGCACAGCCACCCCTAGAACCAGGAGCCTTGCAGGCACTCGGGTGCCTGCTGGAATCAACAAGGCCCTGAGCCACCCTCTGCAGCCACCCAGGGCCTGAAGGGCAGCAGGTGGGGACAGGGTGACAAGGCAGTGACATGATGGCCAGGAGGCCCCGCCCCAGGCCCAACTGTTTTTTCTCCTTCTCTGGGGCCAGGGTGGGGGCTGCATTCCTCCTGTGGGGAGTTGGGGGGCACCCCCAAGAGGAAGGCACCCCCTCCCTGCCAGCCTGCTGTCCCTGCAGCCACCTCACAGAGGAGGGCGCTGAGGCCAGGTGGGGGCAGTGAGAACAGACGCTGGGAAGAGGAGCCTCCCAGGTGCCTGGGGTACAAGGGGCAGAGAGGGGGGACCCTTCAGGAAGGCAGCCCTGCCAGTGACCCTCAGTGTCCCTGAGCCCACACAGACGGGAACACTGGAGCCCAGCCGGAGATGGCCAGGGCCAGTGGGGACACCAGGAGTGTGTGGTCCCCAGAGGGGCAGGGGGGGCAGCTGGGCAGGGGGGGCAGCTGGGCAGGCCGTTCGCTCTGAACCCCCTGGCGGGCAGAGGGAAGAGGAGACACCCAGCAGCTCCTCGGGCCGGAGGAGCCTTTCCTGCCTGGGTCCTGGAGCCCATCACCGAGGTGGAGTGGTCACCAGCCCCAAACCTGGTCTCGCGCCCCTCTCCCCGGACACTTCCTCCTCTAGGGTTTCACCAGCTCCCCTCCCTGATGGCTCCTCACCTGCCGGCTCACCAGACTCAGAGGGCCCCACCCGCCCCTCCTCGCTGGGCTGAGTCCACCTGCTACTGCTCCAGGCCAAGATGTCTGGGTGCTGTCACCAACTGGCCTCATACCCACAGCCTGCGCTGGGAATACAGGCAGCACCCCCTTTGCAGTCAATGTGCCCAAACCCGGCATCCCTGACGCCCCATGGCCAAGGTCCTCTGTCTGGACAGTTTGAGTCGCCGCCCTCCCCATCCCAAAGCCCTCAGTCCACCGGCCCACAGCTGCCACCTGCCACCTGCCCCGGTGCCCTCACACCTGGGTGGACCACCCCACCCGCAGGCCTCAGTCTTGTCTGCAGCACCCTGCGCCCCCTCCACCAGCCTGCTGCCCAGAGCTCAGGGCCAGGCACTCAGTGCCACTTCACCCTGAGGGGACCCCACCTCTGGGGAGGGCCGGGCTAGTCAGGTGTAAACAAGTCCAGGCCCTGCCAGCCCAGGGAGCCTGGAAGCTGGACTCACCTGTGTCTTCTGCCTCATCCTCGCCTTCTTCATCATCTCCCGAGGACGGTGCGTCTGCAGGGTGGGGAAGAGGGGACATAGAGGAGGGCCCTGTTGGCACCCACGAGAAGGGGGCCCTGTGCCTGGCTCCAACATCCAGGCACCTGCCGCTCCTCAGCGAGCTACAAGGCTTCATCATTTCCTGGTTTGTCTGTGACCTGCCCAGGAGGCCCAGGGGGCTTGTCCCTCACACAGCACCCGTGGGGGTGCCCTACTCTACCAGGGGCCCCAGGGCTGTGCTGCCCAAGACCCCGGTTGCCTAGGATGCTGGAGACGCTGGCAGGCACCCACCTGTGATGCGCACGCTGAATTGGCAAAGAACGTGCTGGGTGAGCCTCTGCCGGCAGCTGTAGGCCCCGGCGTCCTCGTGCGAGGCGTTGAGCACCTGCAACCGCTGCGGCTCCACCAGGACCCGGTCTGAGGGTGCCAGCCCTGCCCCGTCCTTAACCCAGACAGTGGGCCCCATGGGACCACCGGCGGGCAAGTGGCAGCTCAGCTCCACCGTGTCCCCACTGCCAAACACCAGCTGCTCCTGCACACGGGGCTCAGGTCCTGGGACCTCTGAGGGCAAGATGGGTGACTGTGAGGCAGGGGCCCCTGAACCCAGCGCACTGCGTGCTCAACACCCCTGGGAGGCACATGGGCACTCGCTTCACAGACGTCCTCCCAGGCTGGGGCAGGAGGCTGTCCTGGCCCCGGGCTGGGCAGGGTCCCTGAGACTGGACGACAGAAGGGTCTGCACCCAGAGCCCGCGGCCCGCACGCCGCCCTGCAGATGGCTGGGGCATCACTGTCAGCCCTGCCCAGGGGCCCGGCCCCAGGGACACTCTGCCTTCAGGACCCAGCACGGAACAGGTGAGGCCGCCCTCCACTCGGCGCCACCACGGACACTGAAATCCGACCTCAGCGGCAGGAAGTCTTCTTCCTCCCACTGTTCTGTCGTTTAGAAATGCAAACCCATTCTGCATTTGGGTGGAAGGGGCCTGGGACCCCCATTTCACAGATGAAGACAACTGGCTGGGGGGCGAATGATGTCAGAGGAGGAGCCCTCAGAGCCAAGCCGGGGGTTCACCTCACCACACCAGTGGCTGCCCAGCTCCCAGGAGGCCAGCGAGGCCTGAGACCCTGGGGCACACCACTGGCCAGGCTGACCACCACCCCCAGTCCTCCCTGCCAGGGCCAGACAATGCCCAGTGCAGGCGGGCAGCCCGGGCTTAGGGCCCAGGCCAGGGCTGGGTGGTCCCGCTGCACAGGCCTCCCCCCCACCCAGCTGGGTCGGCCGCTCCATTACTTGTCATTCTGCCGACGCATGGCCTAGATTCGAGGGCCCAGCTGCCCCTCTGGCCACATCGGTGCCTGGCTCCCTGGACAGGCCCAAATTTCCCCACCCACCACAGGCGTCCTCGTTAGTCCAGTGCCCACCAGGAGGGTATCGGAAGTGTCTAGAGTCTGTGTCCTTGGGGACCCCACAGTCTGAGAGTACCTGGCCTGTCCTCTGGCCACGCAGTCCTGGCCACTGTGACCTGTGGGGACCACCAGTGCTGAGAGCCCATGGAGACCCCCCAGAAGGCTGAGACAGGCTGGTGCCACAGCCTCAGCCCCAGGCCCGGGCCCAAGGGCAACAGCAGTTGGTTCCGGTTTGGTCTGGGCAGCATGCAGGTCAAGCCATGTGCACAAGTATTTGCTTCAACCTGGTCCAGCAGGAGGGTGGGAAGGGGGGACACAGAGCACCCCCAGGCCAGCAACGCCTGGCAGCACCTGCCATATTGGGGGTGAGGGGCTGAGTCCTACCTGCCCACCACCCTGCCCCACTGGGTGCCTGCATAGGCCAAGGACTCCCAGACCAGGTCAGAGACCCCAGCAGAGTCTCTGCCCCTGCAGACCCAATACACAGGGCCCACCCTGAGCCATGGGGACCCGAGGGAGACCCAGCAGCAGCTGAATGGAGGGTGTCAGGCAGGGTGACATGCAGACAGGCTTCAGACTCAGCCCTGGGCTGTGGGTGTTCAGAGGAACAAAGCCGGGTTCTGGGGTGCAGACGCTCTCCTTTGCTCTCCCCGTGGGGGACATGCTGCCAGATACAGGGTTTAAAAGAGCTGGACAAGGGAGGTGCCTCAGAGGGACCCTGACCCCTGGGGCAAAGGTTCTGGCCTCGCCACCCGGACACATTCTGAAAAGTTTCATAACAAAATCAGAAAAATGGGGGGGGAGGGGAGACCTGGTGGTGGGGTGGGCTAATGAGGGCTTACAGGATAACCCAGCCTAATCCTTCCAACAACCCTTCCATCAGCAGTGTCCTTGGACAGGTGAGGAGACCGAGGCTCCAGGAGGGCACCCTGAGCCTGGTGGCCGCTGGCAGCCTTGAGCCCCCAAGCAGGGCCTGGGGTCAGGGGGCCCCTGCCTCCCAGCCTAAAGAGGCTCTATTCACACCTCATTTACTTCTAAGTCACTCAGGCCTGTGGATCTGTGGGGGACCTCCCCCCCAAATCCCTGCCTGGGTACACTGGTCCCACCTCCTCAGAAAGATCTCTTTCCTCTTAGGTTCAATTGTAAAATGGAACCTGTGGACAAAAACGGAGCCACATACTAACCCTGACAAGCTCAGGGGAGACAGGGCGGACACCCAGGGAACCACACAGGGTGGTCCGGAGGTATAAATTCCTAACTTAAAGCAGCCACGGCGGGTAGTCATGTCCTAGGCCTGCAGCTTCCCTGACAAAGGTCAATCTTGACCTTTGAAACTGTGTATCTTTGTGCATCTAAGAGAACATGCCTTTGAGATATCAGAGCAATTGTCTCCAAGGCACACCCGAGACCACAGTTACCTTGGTGCCCGCATACCTCCCTGTGTGCTGGGAATGCTAGCTACCCGGCCCCCACCAACGTGAAAGCACCCCTCTCCACTTTACTCTTTACCCAGCCTCAGGGATCTCCCTACCTCCATTCCAAAGTATAAAATGAGCTGCAAACTGCTCTTCTCCAGAGCATTTCCCATGGAGATTTGCTTCTCAGCAGTGTTGCCAGTTTGCCTCAAATTAACTCTTACAAGGCATTTCCTAGGTTGGACATTCTTAGGGAGACAGACCCCATGTGGGAACAGAGGGCCTGGAGGGAGGGGTGCTCCTGGATGCACTGTGGGGGCTCAGAGGCCACAAGTCCAGCCTGGGGCTCAGCCCAGGTTAATGAACCACCCAGAGGCCCTGGAGGCTCAAAGTCCAGCCCTGCACAGGAGGAGGCAGGAGGTTGCAGCGTTTCTTCCTGGAAATGTTCTGCACCCTGGAGACCCCTGCTGGCTGGGCGGGTCAGACTGCAGGGGGCAGCCTCCTGCTCCCATCAACCTCCCTTCCTGGTGGGGACCTGCCGGGGTTCCTTAGGGAGAACATGACCCCATGTGGAGAAAGGCTGCCTTGGTGGGGCCTGGGGTGGCCAGGGCAGTCCAGCAGGACACCTTCCCCACCGTCCTTGACCCCAGCCAGCTCTGGTTCATACTTTATGTCCCCGGGAAAGTGCCAGCTGCAACCCCTGGAAATTTCAGGACTTTGTGTGTTCACTGCCCAGCCCATCTCTTTAAGGAAACGGATTAAGTTTATTGACCTATCCACTCACTACCTGTTTCTCCAGCTCTACTGGGGGGTGGAGGAGGGGGGACAGGACACTCTTACAGAGGGAAGGACCTGGTCCCCTTTCCCTGTCCCTTGGGTCCTCCTGTCGCTATGACCAAGACCCACATCCAGTGGGGTTGTCACAGGTTGTGTCCCAGGACTGGATCTGGAAGGCACTGCCAGCTCCTGGAAGGGGGATGGAGGAGGCCCTACCCCAGAGCACCACAGGGGCCATGGGAGGGTCTGCAGCCCCGCCTCCAGACCCCTCCCCCGGGCTCGTTGACATTCCCTGGCCAAGGGGAGTAATATCTTTATCTGAAAGCGAATGGGAATGCTAATGCGGGGCTCCCTCCTTGGCCACTTATTCGGCTCCCCTGGAAGCGGGGGCCGCCCGAGCAGGCGCTAAAAGCGCGCGCTGACCTCCCGACGGCCTCTGTCACGCCGCTGAATGACACGCACATTCAAGCGCAGGGCCCACTTTCATTCATAAAAAAATGACATTGTTCCGGGAGGCTGCAGCCGCTGCCGGAGAAAGGGGCGCGGGGGGCTTAGGGAGGGGCGGGCCGCCATCTGCCTGCGTCCTGCCCGTGGCCGCTGCCTCGCTGGCACAGCGCGTCCGCAGCCGCTGCGCTCACACCTCCCCACGAGGCTGCCGCGGCGCCCTCCATCAATGCGCGTCTGTGGCCGCGCCAAGGTACAAAGGAGCGGCTGTTTGGGTCCGCCCGGGTGGGGCGTGAGCTCACAGTGCGAAGGCCTCCCTCCGCGCGCCCGCCGGACTGGAGGCAGGGTGCACACAAGCCCCTCTCCTGTGCCCTGGGGGTGACTGTCCCCAAGGGGCGCACAGCCTGTGGCCGTCAGCCGGATCACGCGTCTATGCCCTGCCGTCCGGAGCCGGGCAGCGCGCGTGCGGGGAAACCGCACTGGGAGCGCCGGCCTGGCTGCACTTCTAAGGCCCGGGCGCTTATCCGGACGGAGCCTGGCTCAAAGACGTGTTCTCGGCCCTCCGCTGCCCTAGAACGGTGGGCCGGGTCCTCCTGGAGACCCTCGACGTCTCACAGGACCTTGACCGTCAGCCGGGGTCCGAGACTCCACGTCCCTAGGATATCCGCTCTACCACTTGCGGCGCCTGCCTGGCGTTCGGTGCGCACCGCTTGGGGGCAGACACCTCCATCCACAGGGCAAGACAGCAGGGTAGGTAGACGGAAGCACTCGAAGGCATCGCCTGGACATGCAGGGCACTGCGGGGCACAGGCCGGGCCGCGCAGGCTACAACACCATCATACCCTCCCTTCAAAGTCTGGTCCGTCGCTTTGGCCAAAGCTGGCCATGAACTGGGGCCGGAAGGGGGGTTGGGGGAGTGGCCAAACAATAGAAACTTTCCGTCAATGCAGAACAACAATAGGGTTCGTGGAAACGCAGCCCCCGCGCCCTCCCGACGGCGCCTGGGGCCGACTGCGTCCCCGGGGGAAGCGCGGGGGCGGGAGCGGCGGACGCCACCGCGGTGCCCAGGTCCCGCTGCAGCCTCGCACTTGGGTGGTAACCCTGCGGCTGCAGACGCCCCTCTAACTGCCGCACCAGATCTGGCCGCAATCCCCGAAAAGAAAGGGCGACAGAAAGCACGGCACAGGCTCCGTAGTGCCAGTCCCCGGCACGTCCCCAGGCCCACTCAGATTGGCGGCCCCCATCCACCGAGGTACCCGGGAACGGATACCGACGCTTCTGCCTGCCCGGGCCCCAAGCCCCTCCCATGTACCCATCCTGTCTCTCCTTACCTGCCACTCTCCGAACTACGCGCTGCTCCACACCCGAGGACCCCGAGGTGGCGCCGGTCACGACCGCCACGGCCACGCACAAGGCGAGAGCCCAAGCCGGGGCGCCCATCGCGGGAGCGGGGGCTACGGCGTCCTCAGGCGGTGCGCGGGGGCATGCCTCCCATGGTCCGGCTCTGGCACCGGCGGGAGGAGGGCGCCGCTCCGGAGGCTGCGGGAGGAGGGCACCGTGTTACCCGGGCAGGCCGTGCTCGTAGTGGCGGGAACGGCAGTAGCGGGTCCTTCGCCCCGGCCCCTCCGACCCCCGGCCGCCCCTCCCGCCGCCGCCGCCCAGAGCTCCCGGGCTGCCTGGCGCCGGCCGCCTCCTCCCCGCCGCGGTCCCTCCCTCCTCCCCCTTCCCTCCCTGGCTGCTGCAGAGCCCTCCCAGGGCGGCGGCGGCGGCAAACTTTCCAGAGCGGGAAGCCCGCGCCCCGGCCGGGCCCCGCTGCTGGGACCGCTCGGGATCCGAGCCCGCCGCGCGCTCTGGCCCCGCCGTGTGCTCGCTTCGACCCCTCCAGCCCGGCCGACCCCGCGCACAGACCTGGAGGCCGCCGGCGCCCTACTCGCGGTGCGCTGCTCTTTCTTCCCTCCTCTGCACGCCGGCCCTACGCCTGCGCCCCGTCTTTCCGGCCGTCGGCTCGCTGGTGCGTCCGTGCGCACGGTCGAACAGGACCGCGTAGCGCCAGCTGCCCGCGCCGCTGTCGCCGCCGCCGCCACCGCGCACTGAGCCCAAGTGGCCAGGCGCGCTGCAGCCAGTGGGGGCTGGCCCGCGCCCGCCACGCCTCCGGCCCCGCCCTGCATCGCCCTGCCACGCCCACCCCGACGCGTTGGGGCGGAGACATGCCCCTCCCCTGGGGCGGTCCGGAGGCGGGGCCTGCTGCCGGCTCTCTCTTGCCCGCCTTAGGGATTAGAGGGGGTGGGGCGGGGTGGGGGCGCCGGGCGGTCTCGGAGGGCGTGGGAGCCAAAGCTAGGCGGGTGAGGTCCCCGATCGCACCGCTGGGCGCACGGGGAGGCCAAGCGCAGACCTCTGTTTGCACAGCGCGCAGTCCCGGGTACCTCCCAGCCGCTAATCAGGGGCTCAGGGTGGTCTCGGTGGGCGAAGCCTGTTGGAGAGGCTTCAAAGAAAGGAGCTGCTCAAGCTGAAGCCTGAGGTGTGAGCAGCCAGTCCTCTGGAGCCACAGTGCAGGAGCGCGGCCCGAGGGGCAGGAGGGGCGCTCTGTGCAAGGCCTGGGGTGAAGGACGGCTGTGCCTGTTCGCCTGGGCCTGAGGCAAGGGGACTGCACCCCAGAAGCTTGTTACCCAGAAGCTCGCTGCTGCATTTATTAAGCTACTGTGGCACACATGTAGCTAAACTGAGTTCCCGGCCAGAGGGGCATTGCCCAGTCCCCTGGGAGGCACACGTTTGGAGGCTGGGTGTTTGCCAGGCATCAGAATAGAGAGCTAGGGTTGGGGACCCAACCCTAAGGCTCTGAGGAAGGACCGACCACAGGGGAGGGTGGCAGCGCCTGAGCGGGCCTGGGGCGTGCCGGCGGGGGACCCAATGTGGCTGTGGCTTCTGTGCCACCTTCACCAGGAAGAGGACTCTCCTCCCACCTTCAGGCAAGCCAGGAGGGTTGGGACCCACAAGCCAGAGAGGGTGTCACAGCGGCATGGCTTGCTGCCCCAGCCAAGTGCCTCTGGCCCACCTGGCTGTGGCTTCTGGGACTTGGTTTGCTCATCAGGAAAATGGGCAATGGATTCCCCTCTGTGACTGGCTGCTTGGGCCACACACAGCTCCGGGCGCTGCCTGTGCTGGGAGGCCAGCCTGGAGACCCCAGCCTCCCAGGCCAGACTGCAGGCCCTGGAAGGGCCCCGCCCCCAGGGAGCCCTCACACCCCCACTGTGCCCAGCTGACACAGGAGCAGCTCTGCCACATCAGGTGCCCTCACTGCCTGCTTTGCTCAAGCCCCTGTCTCCTAGACAGGCCGGGGCCCGCTGAACCCCAAGAGGGCTGTCCCTACCCCTCCAGTGCAGAGCCCCAGCCACCCCCACACTGGCCCTCCCCCGGGATACTGTCCCAGGGCCACAGTCACACACTCTGCTTTAAGCCATTGACCAGTCAGTTAGTTATTCCCTATGCTGGGATGGGTGTGGGCTGCTGGCTCCCGTGGCCCCCTTCCTCTGTTGGCTGGATTGGGCTTGAACCCCAGATTTCTTTGTGGATGAAGTAGGCAGGCAGGGCAAGAGTCCCCCTGGGGTGGGGCAGGGAGGAGGGGTAGTCACAGCACCTGAGGATTGGCCTTCCACAGGACCCTTCTGAGGCCCCAAAAGGCTCTGCATTGTCTCCTGTAGGCCCCTCCCAGGACGGTGCCCACATCCCCTCCCTGGCCCCTGAGAAGGTGTCCTGCACCCCGTGGTCTTTGAGAGGTGAGCATCCATTCATCTTTGTCAAGCACCGTTCTGCTTTCTGCCTCCGGCTGCTCCTCTCCCGCGGGCCTGCAGGGAGGTGAGCCCTCTTCCTCCAGGAGCAGGCCTGGGCTGACCCCTGGGCATTGCAGCCTGTGCCTTTCCTGGGCTGCCTGAGCAAATCCCCTCCCTCTGGGTGGCTGAAATTCAGACGCTCAGAGTCTTGGGGGCAGGAGGTCTGAGATCAAGGTGTCGAAGAGCAGGGCTTGGCTCCCTCTGGAGGCTCCAGGGGGCTCCTCCTGCCTCTCCAGCCTCGGGGGGCTCCAGGCATCCTGAGCTTGTGGCCCATGGCTCCAACCTCTGCCGTCACAGTCACAGGCTTTCCATCGTTTATAAGGACGTCATTAAAAATGAGGGACACACGTGGACGACTATATTCCAAGACGACTCCTTAACCTCAAGAGCTCAACTTAATGACACCTGCAAAGACCCTTTGCCCAGTGAGGTCACACTAGGTTTTGGGGGTCAGGACAGGGACCGGCCCCCATCTGCCTTGCACACACCCATCTGGCTGGTTCCTCGGTGCTACGCCCATAAACGGAAGTGGTCCCTTCCCGTGGCTTCTCCTGGGGCACTGTCTGGTGGATTTCAGCCCAAGCTCAGGAGCATTTTTGGTGGGTCTGGGTCGATTTGGCCAAATTGCTTCGAAAGAGACTGAGCCTCCCGCACGACCCCAACCAGGGCCAGGGATGAACCACAACCGAGGTACGTGCCCTTGACTGGAATCGAACCTTTGACTCATTGGTCCATGGGCTCATGCTCTAACCACTGAGCCAAACTGGCCAGGGCTATTTTGTTGTTGTTAATCTTCACCTGATCATATTTTTCCACTGATTTTTAGAGAGTGGAAGGGATAAAGGGAGGGGAGAGAGACATCGATCGGTTGCCTCCTGCACATGCCCCAACTGGGCAGGGATCAAACCTGCAACCTAGGTACGTGCCCCTGACTGGGCATCAGACCTGCCACGCTTCGGTGCCCAGGCCCACGCTCTAACCACTGAACCACGCCGGCCAGGGTGTTAGCGTTATTGACAAATTAATGTCACTGTTTGCGACCACTGTCTCCCAGTCAGCGTCTTCACCGGGAGCCTGGTGTGGTGTCACAGGCTCTCCTCCCGGGGGCCGGGGCCAGGCCTGTCCGTGGCACCGCCTTCACCACGTGTCCCGGGCTGCGGTGATGCTCCCACAAACGAGCCATCAGTAGCCACTGTTTTGTCATACCCCTTTGATGAGCCATTGTCCCCAAGACCCCTTGCGGAGTCACATGGCACCCTGATGAGGGAGGCGGTCGCTGGGCCCCTGGACAGGGGAGCCAGGAGGGACGGAGGGATGAGGGCCAGTGCGGTGGTGCAGGGGTCCGAGCGGCTGGCAGCCCTGCTGCAGGGCACCCCTCAGGGTTCACACCTCCCTGCCCACTCTCCCTGCAGGCCCCCATCTCCCAAGGCCACACCCACAGGGTTCCTGAGGGAGGGTGAGTGTGGGAGGCCAAGGGTGAGACCCGAGTCAGGGGGCTGAGGGCAGCTCGGGCCAGCCCGGCCTGGTTGGTGACTCAGAGCCCGTGCCCGGCTTGCTGGGGCCTGTGTGTTGAGCTCCTAAATGGCCTCCGTGGGAGGGAAGCGGGTGCAGTGTGCCCTGGGCTAGTTGTTCCTGTGTTTACCCTCCCCACCTCCCCCTGCCAGGACTGGACTGATGCTGGGGACATGGCAGGGAGGTGTGCTCAGCCATGGGCCCCTGCTGGTGTGGTCTGGAACCCACATCCCGCCTGCTATCCACAGCCCTCCTGCAGGCCAAGGCGGCTGCCACATGCCCATAGGTGCCTGTCCAGGCCAGTGCCAGGCCTGGAACCCAGGGCAAGGGAGCCCCTGCTCAGCTCCCCTCCGGAGGGAGTGCCTGGCCTAGAGATGGTGCTGCTGCTGGAAGAGTCTCTCTGCCCTGACGCATGGTGAGAGGGGCCCCGAGCCCTGCTTCAAGTCTCCTCTGCCCGTTCCCTCTCCCACGAGGCTCTCAGGACCACCAGGGGGCGGCTCCATCTCCTCCAGGCAGCTCGCCACCTCCCAAGGCACATGCCACGTTCTGGAAACCACTGGTGACCTGCCAGCTGGTGGGCCCCAGGGTGGGCCCCAGGGGCCAGGGTAGGACACCAGGGTAGTGACCTACTGAGCTGGGCTGGGCTGATTCACTCCCTACAAAGAAGAAAGAGCAGATTTGAGAAAGGCTGTAGCTGTTGTGGATTGTGAGTAACTTCTGTCTTTTTATTTTATTCTTAGAAAATTGGAGGAGGAATAAAATAAAAAGCACAATGGATTTGCCCATTATAACAGGAATGGAATTTTAAAGAGTGTAGATAAGAGGAGATAGTTCAAAATTCATTGGCCAACACTGGCTGCTGTAGAACATCCTTAATTTTAGTTCTGAGCTTCCTGGCAGGCTGAGCAAAAAGGGCAATACCACGAACTACGTGCTGTTTAAAGGCTGTCTTCTTAGATGGACTGTGATAGCCCCAGTTCAAAGAATTTGGCCTTTTGCCCCTTGGTTCACTCAGACCACTAGACCTCAAATCCTGACTTCGGGTTTGGAAAATGTGGCTGCTCCCAATTGAGCAAAGCAAGGAGACTCAGAAGAGTGGTGGCAGGGTGGGGGAGGAGAGGTGAAGGCTGGGGCTCACCCTGGGCTCTAGCCCAGGCTGGAGGTGCGAGGCCTCCCGTTCCTGATGGAGCCTGGCACCAGCCCACTCTGCAGGGCAGGAGGTAGCCGGTGGGGAGAGTGGGGCTGGGGGTGGGCCCGGGAATGAGGGCAGTGTGGAGGTGACCAGAGACGGCCAGGGAGGGGTTAAGGCTGCCACAGCTCCTAGGCTGGGCTGGGCTGGCGGGGGCCAGGCCGGTAGCCGCTGAGCAGCTCAGAAATCTATTTTCCTAAGCACTTGGCATTTGCCTGAAACCTCAAGTGTATTTTCCCTAAGTTTTATTTTTTCTTTGACCCCAAACTCTGGTAAATTTAAGGGAAATTTAATTATGATGTTTTGGGTCCATTTACACTTAAACCTTCTCAGCATTTTTTCCAGGACCCTTTTGGAGTTCAGCACGTCTTGGGAGCCTTCTAAATGAGCGTTTTTATTATTATTATTTTTTGAAAAGGCTTCACTCCCCCCCTCCACTCCCCAGCACCAGCCTTCCTGCCAAGAATAAACAAGCCCGGCTCCGCAGGCTGAATTAGGAATCCAGGCCCGGGCCCTCGGGCCAGCCCCAGTCACACCCTCCA